AAGGATAAAGTAAGCAATGTTATATCTTGTACACCACCAACTATAACAGACAACCCGCCTTCATAAAACTTATTAAAGATGCCAAAAGAAATCACTTAAATTTTACCAACAAAAGCTTTAAATTAGATATATTTCATTTAAATTTAAATATACAACATCTGCCATCTAGAATAGATTATTTACAGATAACAGTTGAAGAATTCAATCCCGATTTAATATTAATAAATGAGCATAAAATGACAGATTTAGAACTTTCCAGATTTAATTTAACTATTGTATTCACTCATCTTTTGCAAGAATTAGATCTGGTGGTTGTGGTGTCTTGATCCTTGGTAAAATCAATGGAAATGTAAAACATAGAAAAATAAATATTTTGGAAAATACCAACATAATATGTGAAAAAAATTTGAGTGTTGTATTACAGAGTACAAGCATAATAGTTTAAAACTTTTACTAGTAGCAATATATCGATCCCCTTCTGTAAAAATTAATCTCTTTTTAGAGAAGCTTGACTCTTTATTAAATTTATTGGTGAAACATTTTAAAAATATTGTAATTGTTGGAGACATAAATATTAATGTATTGGACACTACTTACAGGAAAATGCTAAATGACCTACTACAGGTACATAGCATGAGATACCTTGTAAACTTTCCTACTCGTGTTACATAGATGTCAGAATCAGCTCTAGATAATGTATTGACAAATGTTTTAGATTATAAGATGAATGTTACTGGAGTGAATACCCAGATATCTGATCACGATGGATTAATGTTGCAGATTAGTTTCCTAAATAATAAGTTCACAAACCAAAACGTTTTGAGTCCAAATAAAATAATTGTAAAAGAAATAAGAGACTTTAGTGAAAAAAAATTACACATGTTTACTAAATTATTAGATCATGAAAACTGGATAGATGTTTACAACGCAAATGTTATGGAGAAATTCAACACTTTTCATAGAATTTGTATGTTTTATTTTATTTTAATACATGTTTTCCTAAGTTCAAAAAACGATGCAAACATTCAAATAATATTTGGATTAAAGAAGATTTGAAGAATGAAAAATCTAAAATTGTAAACATGAGTAAAATGGCACGTAACACAAAAAATAAAATTTTATTTGATAAAGCCAAAAGTCTGAATAAGGCTTTTAGAAAAAGAGTCATTGCTACTAAAAAGAAACATTTTGAGACTAAGGTTAAGCAATCTAGTAATGTATGTAAAACTACCTGGAAAATCCTTAATAATGAGGTCTCCAACAAGAAACCAGCATTTAGTAATATTGAAATAGATTTTAATCATACATTGTTTACTGATCCTGGAGATATTAGCTTAATATTTAATGATTTTTTTAGCACCTATGTAACCTCATCAATACTTCCTCACCTTGCACAAAATAGCAACACATATGTCAACGAGCCAATTCAACAAGCCTCCCAAACTAAATTTAGGTTAAAACCAGTCACAGATAGTGAAGTTTTAAAAATTATCAGTTCCTTTGATAACAAACTTTCAACTGGTTTTGTTGAGATACCCATGACAATATTAAAGCATGCTATCCGTTAGTGAAACCTCTTGTGCATTTAATGAACTCATCTTTTGTTAGGGGATTATTTCCTTCTAAATTAAAAATTGCTAAAGTTATTGCTCTTTATAAAAACAATGATTCTAAAAAAATAACCAATTACCATCCTCTTTCCCTATTACCTACCATATCAAAAATATATGAGAAAGCAGTTTACATACAACTGACGAATTATCTGGAAACGTATTCTTTACATGATAATAATCAGCATGGCTTCAGATCAGGAAGATCAGTTACAACTGCAGCAACAGATTTTATAGAATCAGTAATAAACTCTCTTGACAAAGGTGAAACAACAGTTGGCATATTTTTAGACTTAAGTAAGACTTTTGACAGTGTGTCACATACAATTTTTTTAGATAAAATCAGAAGTCTGGGTATTGATGGCATTTCGTTTGAATGGTTTAGATCATACATTTATAATAGATATCAATACGTTGAAATTAAAAATTTGACAAATAACAGGGTAATCTCAAGATTTTCTCTTCTTACAGAGATTCACCATGGGGTACCCCAAGGGTCTATTTTGGGGCCGATCTTATTTCTCATTTATATTAGGGATCTGTCAATTCCATTTTCAACTAGTTTACACGGTAATAATATCTGCCTGTATGCTGATGATGTTACTTTTAAAATCAGCAATTCATCTTTATCAAATTTAGAAAATCATTGTTCTGATACTTTAAATAAACTAAATATTTTTTTTTTATTCTCATCAGGTCTTGTTAAATTTAAGCAAAAGTAATTTTATGGTTTTTACAACAGGGAAAAGAAAACAAATTGTACAGCCTGTAATTCAATTTCAAAATAATAAATTGGAAGAAATCACCACAACAAGGTTTTTAGGATTAATTGTAGACAAAAATATTACATGGAATAAGCATGTTGACCAGGTAGTCAACAAAATTAATTCTGGTATCCATGCTATTAACAGAATGTCAAAATTTGGCTCAATAGAAACATTAAAGATTCTTTATTTTGCTTTCATCGATTCATCAATATCTTTTGGCAAAGTATTTATGGCTGTACCTCTAAGCAAAACCTGGATAGAATTCTTACTCTTCAAAAAAGTGCAATCAGAATTATGTTAAATTTAGAATGGGATACTTCCGCTCGTCAATATTTTTCAAAATTGGGAATAATGACTGTGTATACTATTTATGTTTTTCATAAAATTTTACACACAAAAAAACTTTCTAAAGCTAATTTGGTCCCTAAAGTTGGTGATAGTCTCAATTATTTTACCCGGAACAGAAATGAAATTGCTGTCAGTGTCCATAATTTGGAGCTCTTTAACAAAAAAACCACCTGTGCAGGGAAAAGGTTTTTGGACAAACTCCCAGCTGAGGTGATGAATATTGATAATATTTCCAAATAAAAAAAAAACTTAAACATTTCTTAACTGATAAAACACTTTATGGTTTCGAAGAATTGTCGGTTAGTTTGATTTAGTTTTAAGCCTAGTGACGCCATTCAATGTATGTGACTGTATACCAGATGAATAAAGATATTTTTTCATTTCATTTCATTACAACACTCAAAGAGCTACAGACTACTTTCTCCCGGCACACCATACAACTCAATACAGCAGGAAGCCTCCCTACATAGGAAAGGAATTCTTCGATCAAAATCGTTAAGAAAGATGAAAATTCAAATTACAAACTGTATATGACTCTATTGTGGGGAGCGAGCTTGTCTAAAGCTAGAGCCTGGGGGCTTAGGTGCCCCAGGACCCAGGTTCATATCCCGCCAATCACCAATGGGATCTCTGTGATAATGCTGCAACCCTAAGGAATAGCCTGAAGTAATGTGATAAACAGTTCAGGGCTAGAACCTAGCGTCCTAGGATGTAAAGGGTGGAGGTGGGAAATAAAAAAATATGACACTATTGTATTTTTTAAAGAAATCTCAATTAAAAAATTGATTGCTTGATTGAGTTATATGTTTGTGGTATAAGAACATGAATTTTGACTTATAAAAAAACTTTTAATTAAGGAACAAAACATGTTTATTCAAGAAGCAACAATTTAACAACATCGTTTAACACAACTGGTATCTTTATTCTGACTAAAATAATAACTAGGTGTTTGGTTTATGTGACTTTATTGGCTGCTAGGCAACTGTTTTTTGCATACTTGTAATTATATTTAACCCTCCGAGTGTTATGTGTCGTAAAAGCGACTCATAACACATCCGCTGTAGTGTTATGTGTCACTTTTGCGACTCACAAACACTGTTTACGGCGACGGCTCTAGGACTGACTGAATCGGATTGAACTGGATCAAGTTAGGTATAGTTTTTTCAGCAGATTCAGAGCTTTCTCCTGATGTCTGTTTCCATACGCTTTTCATTTTAGTTCCGAAAATATTGTAGCAGACAGCTGACGTGCGTATTTGTAAACAGCTTGATTAACCTCGCACCGATGACTGGTGTGTTTTATTACGTTTATCATTGTTTTAGTGTTAAAAATCAAAAGTAGTGATATACGTGGTGCATTATAAGAAGATTTAAGTGATTTTGAAGGGCTGGTTGATGATCCTGAAGAAGTAGGTAGTGATATTGATGTAAATTATCAGCCAGATTCCTAGCTAAGGTTAGGCTATGCATTCTTAGCTAAACACTATGTACCGAAATCTGTTTTTTCCCATAACTTATTTATTTGCAAACCTACTTCCTTATATTATTATATTTTTGGAATCCTCATAAAATTCTGAACAAAGTGGCTATTTTAAAATATTTGTAGACCTATAAATTATAACAATTTATTGAGCGCAAACATACATTTTTTTCATTTATTTTATAATTTTTGAGAAATGTTAACCCCACAAAAATTGTTGAACTTTTTTTGTAATGTTTTACATGTTACATTGAAGCCCATAATTTTTCAAACAAAATGATATATAAACCAGTATACTTTACATTGTTTTTAAGTTTCTAAGATACATTTTAATAAAACCCTGCGATTGCGCAATAAATGGGCAAACATTAAGACCAAAACTAGAGACACTTGGAGTGTTAATATTCCTATCATAATCCATTTAACAATTTTACTTACAACACCTCTACTTCCTGTCTGCCCACATTGTATGACAACTAGGTAAATCTATTGTGCAATCTGGCTTTAGTTCTACAGTTTGGCTTGATAAATTCTACTTTTTACCTCCATAGTTATTGAAAGTAATTTATTAATGTAGGCTAGAAAAAAAATGTGCCGAGAACATTTCTGTACTGAACCGATGGCGATAATTAAGCCAGAACTTTTCCGCCAACTTGTTCGGTGCACCGCAGACCCCTAGTATACACCCAAAATGGCACAAAACTACCAACTGACACGCCTAGTAACGCCGATTCTACATGCTAATGTCAACCCAACCTTACAGCAAAAATGTTTTCTACGATTGAGTGAATCTTACTTGCAAAACGATGACAGTGTCCTTGTCGTAGTTTCTAGTGACGGAGAGGACAGGCAGTCTGTCCCTGTCCAGCCAGGACTGGGCAATCTCTTCTACTGATACAGATTTTTCAAGAGTACCATCTTGATGTGCTTGATCTCCAATGGCTGCCCACAGCTCTGAGTCATTGTATAGCTTGAACTCTCTGTAGATGGTAAAATTTATTAGTGAGATGACCTCATTTGATAGTAAATTTTTATTTGTTTAGTGCTTACGCCAGAGGAATTTTCAGTTAACTAATCTAAAATTATTTTATTGGGAAAAAGCCCAAACCATTAAATTTTTGTGGATGTAGGGGATTGTACCTTTCCATGCAGCACCAAACTCTGAAATGCTGACCATTAGGCTAGCACACCCAAACTATAGCATACAATGCCTGAAACATTGATTACAATAGCTATTTGTGTATTACGTGCAAAGTACATCATCGCTCGAGAACTGTAGATGGCCATACATTTCGATAGTGGCAATGACTGTTCGTGCTCGTAATACAAACAAGATTTTTCCTACCACCATGATTGTACACATCATAACACACACACATTGCCCACATTGTGGCATTAATGGGACTTAAGGGGACCGTTAGAAGTCTGTGTACTGTATGCTGCAATTTTTTGAGGATTTGGATGATATGAGGCTAAGTCCCACAATTTACAATAATGAATACAGTATCATCAAACATATAGCCATATCCAACGGCTATAATAGCGGGCTTGTAGACAAACTTATAATCAAACACCATAATAGAGAGGTCGAACGTAAGAAGTACGTATGTATTGAATATTCCCACACACTACAAAATTGCCTATCCAAAGAGCTTCGTAGGCAGGGAATCGAATAAACATTCAAAACTACAAACCGTACTCGTAACACCCTGTCACAAACTAACCGATCAAGAGATAAAATGGAAATGACAGGTGTTTACAAAATTAAATGCCAAGATTGTCCGAGCCAATATGTTGGGCAAACAGGTTGTGGGTTCGCTACTCGCTACAATGAACACAGGCCCAAACCACGTTTAATCAAACAAAATTCAGCATTTGCCCAGCATTTAATCAACCTAAACCATAACATGAGTGAGATTGCTGACGGTCTTGAGGTGCTACATAAATGCAGTAAAGGTAGTAAACTAAACGTTAGAGCAGAGGAATTTGAAATTTACAAATTGTACCACGACAACACCGCCAGTGGACACATCCTCAACAAAAAACTGCAGTTCCAGTCACACTCTATTTTCAATGTGCTAATTCACCAAGATAACCGGCCACCTGACCTTTGTCCTACTGATAACATGGACAACAACGAGGAAGGAGTCTGACACTGCAGTCTACTACCTGCGCCGGGACCGTCCGTGTCTTGTGCGTGTGATAGGCCTATCAATGTCAATTAAATGTTTACTTTCTCTTTCCGTAATTAAATGTTCGTATTCGTGTATTTATTGTGTGCGTGTGACATCGATGTCTTCGTTTTTGTAACCCTGACGATGCCGTATTTACGGCGAAACATGTAGGTTGTTAACCTCAATCAACATTTGGATTACTTGACGAGGTATTGTACCATTATTATAGTAGTGAACTACTTACTTTTTAGATAGAAAATTTTGGATTCCAGTCTTGAAGGTTTGGGTGGTCAATACTAAATCCAGCATTGAAAGGAAGATTTGAACTGAAAAAGAGAAATAGCTTTACTAAAAATAAGATAAAATAAACAAGATAAGCTATACAGATTTAAAATCATTATACAATAAAAGCAAATCTATATTTTAAAACTTTAACAAACTTATAAATACATCATTGTTCAAAAAAGTGTATACACCTGACAAAATATAAGGGTATGCCAAAGTCAAAATCTAGGCTGCAGCATTTCAGAATGTAAATTTTTTCGTAAATTCCAATGTTATTCTTATGGAGGATAAATAAAACTGTTTCAGTTAGTTTAGTGATCAAATGTATTTACTTCAAACTAAGTTATTAACATTTCACTATAAAACCCCTTTATTACCTTCCCAGAAGCAGCAACCCTAAGTACTCGTTAAACCTAACGTTACTAAGCAAGGAATAAATCTTGCACGTTTAAAACGTTCACTTTAGCCAACCAAATGGCAGGCGTAGCCCCAGTGCGGCGCAACCTTGAGCTAACCCATTTGGCTTTCATATATTTCGGTCTGACGAATAGTAAATGACGTGAGTGCTGTGTTACGACAAGAGTCAACGTAGTTTGCTAAAACACTCACACAGGCCCGCTTTTGACTCTATCAGCGCCCTAGGCACAACTAATAGTAGCACCCCTTTGCAATTTATATAACGGTGTCCATTGACCGAGAAATCCAGGAATCATGCGGGAGTTTTTCGAACAGGGAATTATGTGAATTTTGTATTTCTACCTAGAGTTTTCAATTTACCGCGATCGCGCATGACAACAGTGACGTTTACATGACCGCGGTAGACGATAATATGTCTACAAACGGCCGCGAGGGATGATCATAATTTTCCACGATCACGGAATACGATGATAATGTCCACAGGACCGCCGGAACCAGCAAGAATTTTGCCGCGATTGCGGAAGACGAAGACGATCTCTACGCAACTGCGGGACATGATCAACATTTTGCCGCAATCGCTGGAGTCGATTACCATGTATTCATGACCGCGGGAGACGATTGTGATGTCTACATAGGACCGCAGGAGATACAACAATGATTTCTACACGACCGCAAGGGATGATTACAATCATGCCGCGATTGCTCAAGACGATGGTAATGCCCACATGACCGCGGGAAAAGATCAGAATTTTGCCTAATTCGCAGAAGACGATTATCTCCATATGTCCGTGGGAGATGATTACAATTTTGCCTCTATCGCAGGAAGCAATTACTATGCCCAAACGACAGGGGACAATATAATGATGTCTTGACGGCCGCGAGGGTTGATCAGAATTTTTATCACGATAGCACAAGACGATCATAATGGCCACACCCACACGATCACGGGAAAAGGTTAGAATTTTGCCTCATTCCCGGGAGACGATGATAATCTCCTCACGACCACGGGATATGTTCATATATGGCCTTGATCGTGGAAGGCGATAATTATGTCTAAACGACCTGACCGCGGAAAATAGTAGTAAAAATCTTGCCACAAACGCGGGAGACGATTACGATGTCTACACGGCCGCGAGGGATTATCAGAATTTTTTTTTATTTTCCAAGTTTTTGGCGCCCCCCAAAAAAGCCAATTGCCTCGCGCCCTAGGCACGTGTCTACCATGCCTATTTGGTAAATCGGCCCTGCACTCACAGATAGCAGCCCTACCTGGAATGAGTTGGTCCCATTGTATTGCCAATTGGAGGGAGAAACAAGGGACAATAAGTTGATTTATATGCTTGCCAGAAAGGGATTTTACGGGGAAATTTACTACCAACCTACACCACAATAAAGCACCCATTCCTAGCTAAACACAGACATAAAAATACCCGTTGTTCCCGGTGTGCTGCTGTGCAGAAATTGAATGGAATGTAGGCGATCCCAGCACTGCATGGCAGAAAGGAACTAGAGCACATCACTCACTGGTGAGTGGCCTGCAGCAAATGTGTTAAGGAAATATTTCAGTGAAAATTAGCTGGGCAAATGGAAATTCCCTTATTCTGTAAGTTTGCTGCAGTGTGTGTGTTAAGAAATTCTAATACTATTAAACTAAGATTCCTTACCTTTAGACGAGCACAATGCCTCCTTCTGATTTGCGTTCATGTAGCTGCTCTTGGGCTTAGCATATTCTAGGTAAAGACTATGCAGACCTGTCAGGTGCCAGTGGTAGATGTTTTGTTGCTCCAGCTTTAAAAAAGTTGTACAATAGTTATAGCTGAATAGTTAATCATTTAATTACAAATGTTACAGAAACCCAGCAATGCTAGGAAACGGGAAACAGGTGATTTATGATAAAAGAAAATAAATAAACAAGTTTCCTACAAACCGTTTGGTATAAAATAAACATAAATTTTAAGATAAACCCCGATATTGTATTGATTATGTAATATCAAAGAAAATTACTTGTAACCATTGAGCTTCCTAGTCTCCTTTAGTGTTCACTCAGTCAAGCGGCAGTAATACAGGACTGGTCTCACCAGGCTCGCCTTTGCATATGATAAGAGATAATTGAGTCCTGTAATAGGCTGTAATAGGAGGGTCAAATATTGTGAACAGGAAGTGTTTGGCAATGTTTGTGAGTAGGCTGGTAGTGTTGTTAAACAATACAATGTTGTACTGACCTACTGAAGGCAGGGGCGTCACCTTAGGGGGGGTAGGGGGGGGAGCCTCCCCCCCCTAGAATCTGGGAAAGAGAAAAGTTGGGAATTTCCTTGCCACGAGTTGGGACAGTTGGGAAGTCAGATACAAGAAAAATTTATTTTTAAACTAAACAAAATTTAAATATTTGCGAAAATCCATCAAAGATAAAAATGTCTTTGACTTGGACAAATAAACTTGACACTTCTTTGATTTCATTTAACTTTGATTAAACAAGGCTAAACCATGGCTAAACACGCCTTATTTTAAGAAATCAATAATCAAATTAGCGGTATAGCTTGTTGGAATTTCGTTTAGTTTTTAGTTTTTTGAAGATGAAGGTTAACATTTTTATTGTATGTATAAGTTTATCATCAACTAAGTTGAACGTTTTTATTTTATACGGGTCTTATTTTAGGTTTATTCTTTTCCAGACTAGAATAATATTATTCACAACACTAATATTAATATTTCATCATTACAAACTTGTTTAGGCCTACCCTAGTTGTTGTAAGTTTTATGAAAGTTAAAATGTTGATCTTAACTTTAAAAAGTATTTTATTTTCATTATTTTGTAATAAAATATTTTTTCTATACTAATTTGTACTAAGCTTATTTTATATCCCTAAAATTTTACACTACTACGTCTGCTACCACGATGGTTTGTAAAGGTTTTTGGATTTGAAACATTACTTGTTCAAGTTTTTTGAAGTCATAAAATTGCATTATGAATTGGTAGAAGTTTTAGAAATGGAGTAATTTTGTATATATGTAAAACTAGCTATGTTTTGTTAATGCAAGATTATAAATACTGAATTGAGTGTGACTGCTGTGTAGTATAATAATTTGTAGATTTTTTAAAATAGTACAGAAATTGATTTCTAAAAAAAAAAATAGTTGGGAAATCTATGGTAAGCAGTTGGGAAATTTGAGGCTTCTCCCCCCCCCCCCCCTGGGATTTAGCCAAGCAACGCCACTGACTGAAGGCTGTTGTTTTAAGTAGGCCAGGACACTTGGTCTGGAGTCAGTTTTGTCAGTAGTGTTGAGTGTGGTTTAGGCTGCGTTTACATTGGAGGCACGCTTGGGCAAGTAAAATGGTGGCGCACGCTTGGCCAAGCTTGCCCTTTGAAACAAAATTGTAGCAGATTACTGGAAACCGGTGGGGACTTGACCAGTCATGGTTACAGTGCCCGCCACTAGCAAGCGCACACGCTGGGACAAGCTTACGCTTCTCAAATCACGAAACAAATAAATTTGTTTTTGAAGCAAGCGTGCCTCAGTTTGTTGTGGTTCACTGACAAAGTAGCATAGATTGTGTATCTGAAAACTGTTGTTTTTTATATTTAAGTGTTGTTATAAGTTATTTAATTGTTCAAAATGGATACTGAGGTGTTAATTGATACAGTTCTTAACTATAACTAAAATATATTGAATTTTATTTTTCTATTAAAATAGACCAGTAATAATGCTATGATGAAAAAATTAAGCTCCTCTAGCCTTATTAAAGTTAGGCCTATACTGTTTTAGTCGGTATGGTTATGTTTTTTATAAAAAATCAATTACAAAAATGTAAAATAATACCAATTTATAAGAAAGACGACCTAGAAACTGTGTCAAATTACCGTCCTATTTCTCTCCTACCAGTAATATCAAAAATTTATGAAAAAATTGTTAACTGTCAGTTATTAAATTATTTAGAAGAATTTAAACTATTAAACAATACTCAGCATGGATTTAGGCCTGGAAAATCTGTAATTACAGCAGCAGTGTCATTCATAGAATCTATAATTGAATCGGTTGATAAAGGGGAGTTCACAATTGGAATTTTCATGGACCTAACTAAGGCATTTGATAGTGTCAACCACACCCAACTGATAGATAAATTACTCATTTTAGGGGTTACAAAAAATCAATAAAATGGTTTCAGTCATACCTAAATAATCGTTGTCAGTTTGTAGAAATCACACATAATCATGATAACAGAAATACAACATTTTCTTCTGAAACTGAAAGGGTTAAATTTGGTGTACCCCAGGGGTAAATCCTGTGGCCCCCTGTTGTTTTTATGTTATATAAATGATGCTGGTGGTGCACTCTCATGTTTACCTCAGAACAATCTTTGTTTTTATGCAAACGATACAAATCTCAAAGTATCGGCTGAGTCAGTGCAACAAGTTGAAATTTTAAGTTTTGTTGAATTGGCAAACATTGGAAACTTTCTAGAGCAAAATAAATTGAAGCTTAATCCTAAAAAAACTAATTTTTTAACTTTTAAAACAAATCAAAATAAAAAGTTAATTAAACCAAATATCATGTATAATGCAGAAGAAATTGAACATAAACACAGTACACAATTTCTAGGTCTAACTGTGGACCAAAATTTAAACTGGGATGAACATGTTGATAAACTTCTTTCAAATTTATGTTCAGGACTATATTCACTCTCTAGAATGTCTTATTTTTGTAACCATAAAACATTAAAAAACATATATTATGCTAATGTCCATTCGCATTTATCCTATGGTTTGTGCCTTTATGGCTCAACTACAATAGCAAATTTGGATAGGATACTTAAACTTCAAAAAATAGCAATAAGAATAATTTTGAAATTAGAACACAATGAAACAACCAAAAACAAATTCAAAGAACTGAAAATTTTAACGTTATATGGCCAATATATTTACGACACAATTATTCTAGTAAAAAACTGCTTGAGCACCTCTGAGACAAATTATCACCCATACAACACTCGGCATAAAAAATTCCTTATTTCAAGTAAACATAAATTAAAATTCTATGAAAAAAAACCATCCTATATAGGATTAAAATTTTTTAAGCATCTTCCTAATGAAATCAGAAATGAACAAAGCAGGAAGAATTTCATGATAAAACTAAAACTGTATTTAGTAGAGAAAGCATTCTATTCCCTGGAAGAGTATTTTTCCACCTCCCCTCTTAGCGTTAGTACATAATTGATTCAGTTTTGATTATTTTCATTTCCTGATTCTTGGTTTTTGATTTAGATAATGATCCAAGATATGCAAATCTGTAAATTATTAATTTAAGATAGATTTAGTTGACACCATTCAATGTACAACACTGTACTTTATGAATAAAGCATATTTGATTTGATTTGATTTGATACAAACATTACATCGACTCCTACAGTTTCCCGTTCCCCCCAACACGTCCAGAGTCTAATAATATAAATTTAACTCCATTTTCAAGCACAATGTCCGCATCATCTGACATCTCAATTTTGACTGATATGTGATGTAGGCCTACTGTGACTAGTGGGGGGACCGCTTGTTCTTGGTTGCTCTGCTCTAGTATAACCACACCATCGGCAACTGCACGCTTGCGCAAGCATGCGCACCCATTTAACTTGCCCAAGCGTGTTTCCAATGTAAACACAGCCTTACTGGAGGACAGGGTCCTGCTGGGGGAGCTAGAGGGTCCAGGTAAGACACTATTAAGGGTTTTCAAAATTGGGGCTTAGAGCCTTTTCTGAATTGTGGTTTCAGTTTCTAAATTATCTGATTTATACAGTTCCAGTCTACTCTACTGATTGTTACTGAGCTTTGTATTGTTTTGAGTAATATTAAAGTTGGGTTTTGTAAGCGAGTGCTGAGTTTTATTCCTGAGCCACGTCACCCAAAGTAACAGTGGGTACCTCCAGTAGTGAGGTATCTACAGTTACAGCCCCTCTCAACCTACCTCGTAGGATAATATTTGTCTTCCTTGGGCCCTCAACAAATCTTAAACCTCTTGTACCCTTGGGCCCGGGCTCACTGCGCCCATTTATTAAAGCGGCTCTGGCCGTCACATCAGAAAGCAATACCCAGCTTAGGACATGAACCCAACCCTTTGGTTCAGCATAGCCTGTCCGGAACTATAGGGAGACTATTTTTCATTGTTACCGTTGAATTTTTACAGATATTTATGTCATTGTTGTCTTATTTAATTGTTATTATTGCTCAAGAGACAATGAAGGACTCATAAAACTGGATACTACTGATTCAAACTGACAAAACTGTATAGTATATAAGAAACAATATTATTAGTGCAGAAAAACTATTAGTGGTTTATGCACTTTTATAACCTATGTATTGGTAATTATTGTGTAAATAAATTTCTTGACTGATTGAGAGGTTTAGAGGTAAGCTGTCCAAGGTGGTAAAACATCAACTGAAACAGTAATTGATACTATCGTTATTTTACTACAGCTTCTCTGTATATGGTAACCATTATGACTGGTGAAAACTTGGGCTGGATAAAGTAGATTAAATTCAATAGATAGCCTATATTTGGTAATTTAAATCTACTCAATTACCTGTCACTAAGTACTTTACTGTCACTAAATTAATATCAAATAAAATGGGAAGAAACTAATGGTTGAAAAATCTAAAAAGACTTAATAAAATAAGGGTTTTCTCTGTAAAATAACTTTGTTAGCTGTCCTACTTATCTGATTTTTACTACTGCGGTGTAATTTTAAAGCTCATGATCTAGCAGAGGGACAAGTAACTAACCAAGGCATTACCTTCGGGGATTTGCCCTCTTAGCAAAATTGATTTATTTCTAGAGTTTGCTTTCAAAGATTCAGTGATGCTGAACAACTTGTTTATAGCTGGTTGGATGTTATTTTAAATGTGAACAGCTAAACCTTCAGTTGAATGTCTAACCACTGTCAGTTTATAAACAAGAGTAAAAACAGTTAATGAAAATTAATTTTGAATGGGCAACTTTTTTGCAATTGTAACCTGATTGGTAGGTCACTCTTTATGGTTTAGATCTAAAAACAAAAGTTTAATTTATCGTAAGTAGAATATTCACATAATAACTGTCACAGACAGCATAATCTTTGTAGTAAAAGGGTCAGGGGGGGGCTGCCAGCCTGGGAATCGAGTTTCAAACCATATTAAAATGTACCTACAATTTGCAAAGGGTCCACTCGAAAAATTTAATGACGAGCTTAAGGGTAATTAATGATAATGGAACGTGGTAGGTAGAAGAAAGTATTGTGAGTTTGTACAAATTTAAGACCTAGACAGGCAATCCTGGACAGCTATGAGATTAAGTTTCCTGTGGTATGTGCTAAGAGGTATTGACAATAAAAAGATGGCAGATGAAGTGATTTACCGAGTCAAGATCTAGGAAGCTACAATAAAATCTGGAACTGGCAGAGGACTGGAAAAATATTAACAAGGCCAAAAATAACTTATACTATAATTAGAGTTAACTATAAATAAAAAATGAATATGCTACAATATCTGTTTGATTATAAGATGAAGATCTAACAACATAGTTGCCATAAGGTGTCAAATGTCATTTCATGCTGGACATGTTTGATTGTATTACCAAGTTCATCTTCAGCAGCATCCACTAATTTAACGTCAATCACATAGAGCAATGCTTGTCTTGTCAGATATTTACCAAGTCAGCTGACTGGATGATCTTATTTATTATATAAACTCATGAGTTTGAAACTTATACAGTATTAAATGACTACATTTTACACCCTATAAGGCAACACTTGTAGATCTTCATATTAAAATTTAAAATCGAGGGCTTTTCATTTTTAAAATTGAATACCTGTTTAGCCACAATGGTTGCCAAGTAGTTAGCGAGCCCTGAGGTGATACAAGATGTAGTATTTGGCTCAGGAGAGGTAAGATGGTTGAGCCATTGGTTGGCAGCGGCTCGCGCCAGTCGGTGAGACAACCAGAACGTGTTTCCATTCATCAAGTCACTCTCCCTGTACAAACAATAATAATAAGCGGGGGCTAACAGTTAGTAGTCAAAAATTAGAAATAGAAACTCTAGTTCTTTAGGTCAAAGCAATAAAAAATAGGTAAACATGGGTCTTTAATGCCTTATTTTCTGTTTGTCTGTCTGTATGTAATTTTTACACAAGTAACCATAACGTTTTAAGTCCTTAAGCGATTCACTTCAAAATTAATACATGAGTGGTGAAAGATATGAGTAATCATTACACAAAGTATCAGATTCCTAATTTGTCTTTGTACCAATTCAAAATTAAGGTAATTTTAAGTCAACTATCTTAAATGTCTTAAAATCGAGCGATTCCACTAAAAAATATCATGAATATATTTTTTTAGGAAATTTTACCCAACTGAACTGCAATTGTTAAATTTAGTTAGTTAACAATCAAAATATTTTAATTTTGTGAGACCATGAATTGTATGATGTTTGAATTTATTCCCATTGTTGTGCCGGTACTGAATATACTGGGCACATACCCATTGCTCAAAATATTAGTAGCACTGTAGGATGAATTATTTTAAATTTTGACTGTTACACCTCTTAAGTAAACATAAATCCCTTTCTTACAAACTCATTCATCACTAATCCTCTAACTTGAAGTGACTGTGTTATCAAGCACTCTCACATGTGCTGAGCCAGTATGTCCCCGAAGCACTGCCCTCCTACTCTCCCACTCAAGGGAAAAAAGTGCCCATCCCAACTGGGCACTCCAAGATCCGACTCTTCCATCAGCACTTTTCTCCCCCAAAAGATAAGGGTGCTAAACTGGTAGGCTTCTTTTCTGTATCTATTTTTCCGCTATTTTAATACTACTTACTCTCTTTCTCTATCGAGTCCTCTGACTCAAAAAACCTGTCTCCAACTATTCTTTTCTCAGCTTTACTTTCATTTCCCTATCTAATTAACCCCAAGTCAAGGTGGAACAGCATACGCCGAGGACTGCATGGTCAAGGGGAGCTTGGCCACTAGTATGCGGACTCTGGATACCAGGCAACCTCCAGTTTCAAGCAGCCTTCCCCGGGCAAGCGGGGCTCTGCTCGGAGTGACTCTTCGTTCCCTTGCCACTTGTGGGATCAAAAAATTGATACAGCAAAAAAAATTGATTTAGTAAATATGGAAGTAGAGGAGAGGGAAGCAATGCCTCAGCAGATGGACACATCTGAGGTGGCTACAGGGCCCCAAGATGTTGTCCCTTGAGATCACAACGTCCCCACCCAAGAGGTGCCCACACCTCAGGGAGGGGATGCTATTACACTATCAGAGGAGGAAGGCCTCCTCAACGACGAGGACTCCCAAAAAGTTAAGGAGTTAGAGGCAGGAGCAAGGAAGCTCAAAATGTCAGCAAGGAGGCCAAGACTAAAAATGATTGGCTCCAGAACGAAAAGGTTTCACTGGCTCATCAGGGAGGGGTACTCAAGGCAAGAAGCATATGAGAAAAGCCTCGAGTCATTAAAAAAGAACGAAAACGAAGGGGATCCAAGCAGTAGGCCTATCCACCCAGGGGGCAACCAGCAGCGGCCAGGATGAGTAGGGACGGTCCACTGACCTACAGGTTCGGCACGGTCACACTGAAGCTGAGGGGCAAAGGCTCTGAAGAAGGAGCTGGTCAAGCACCTCCAGTACCTCGGCTCGAGCCTCTCACGTCTACCGTCACATCAAATGCAGAAGGGGAGGCCACTATCCCCCCAGTGCTACCTCTAACTGCTACCTCCCAGTGTAACCACCAACGGCTTCCCAGGAACCAAGGAGGGAAACATCAACCCCTCCTTCCACGGAGAAAACAGTGGAGACCAGGAGGAGCGAAGGAAGGAGAAGCCAAAACTCCCGGCACTTCCCTCTCTTTGACAGGAGGAATCGCAAAGAAAGAAGAGAGGAGAGGAACAGGGGCCCCTCAACGTCCAGGAGGGAGGAGCACCGGCCAAGGAGCAGCAACCCTAGACAATGGGAACGAAGGAGGTCCCACTACCAAGAGAGGAGGGGTAGGAGCGACCCCTCAGACAGGAAACGGGAATGATGTCCCATATCATTCAGGCCAACCTCCATCATGCCAAAGGTGCTTACATCCCAATTTGTTGGAAGAAATCAAGGGCGTTATTTCTCCTGAAAAAAGGAAGAGACCCAGCCCAGCCAAAGTCCTACAGGCCTATATGTCTGTCGTCTTTCATGTTAAAGACTATGGAAAAAGTAATCAACCGCCACATTAGGGACGTTTACTTAGAAATTAGTCCCCTTAGTGCAAGTCAACATGCGTTTGTGAAGGGCAAATAAAAAACAACAGCCCTATGCACACTAGTGGCCAAGATTGAAGATACCCTAGAGCACCAGGAATTCCTGGCTTTTCAGTAATAGGTAAAATAATACTATCATTTTTGTTATGATTACTTCCTAGCCAAAGACTTTCGGCTGGTCACAGAAATAGGAAGACACAATCAGCGATATTACACTTGCTGGTTCTGACAATTAAGACGTCATTACAACAATAATTGTATCCTCAGTAATCTATTATCAGGGTAATAATTGACATTTCAGTGATGGTTTTATTTATCCAAATATGTTAAATAACACCCATCCCTAAAAACATGGCTACGAGACTAGGCTCTAGCCAGGGATCGTTTATCACATTACCTCAGGCTAGACCTAGGGGATGTTACATCATCACTTAGATAAAAGCCATTGGTGTTCTGGCGGGATTTGAACCTGGGACCTTGAGGATGGAAGTCCCGCACTCTACCACTAGATCAGCTGACTCCCCTCTAGAACATGGTACTTACTTGAACAGTTGCAGACCCCATGCGTTGATGGGTGTGTCATCCATGTACCCTGGTAGAGCGACCAGGTTGAGTTGAGGTAGAGGGTACGGTCGGGACAGGTATATCTCTAGTGATACCATCACGGTGGGCAGCAGCTGTTGTGCCTTGGACAACGCAGTCACAAAATCTGACCTGCCCCACACACCCACTCTGATACCGTCTGTAAAAACAAAACTATCTTGAAACTGTGATGATATAGAGCTAACTTATAATATCTTATAAATATCCACGACTACACGATTAACAAAATCAAAAAAGAAATATGATGTCTCAAAATGTTAATAAAGGGTGGACCAAAAAAACAGAGACAATTTTAAAATGCTATTACTCAGCTGTTATAAAGGCTAGAGAGTTCATTGATGTGACAAAAGAAAGTTTATTTGATGCCATTTAGAGTACAGTTACTATGGATCATCAATGGTTACTGCAACATCGTGCCTTTGTCATAGAGACTTTTTTGAAGAATAATTTGACTTTCATTTCTACTCAACGTCAATTTCGTTTTCACTTCAACATTGGCCGTAATGGTGCAACCATAAAGCGAAAAACTATTCAAAGTTGGGTAAGTAATTTCCAGAACACGTCTTCTGCACTCAAAGTAAAACCTAGTGGGATACCTCGGACTGTTTGAACGCCGGAAAACATTGAAATGGTTCGCGCGAGTGTGCTGCGTCGAGCGTCCAAAGCCAACCGTTTGCAAAACATTGCATTGAAATTGAAATTTTCCTACGTTTATATTTGAGTACAAACGCCGTGTTTAGGACATTGTTTACCCATCTTTGAGTAGTTTATTCGGTTTGGGGTTGCACCATAACGGCCAAAGTTGAAGTGAACACAAAATTGACGTTGAGTAGAAATGAAAGTCAAATTATTCTTAAAAATAGTCTCTATGACAAAGGCACGTTGTTGCGGTAACCATTGATGATCCATAGTAACTATACACTAAATGGCATCAAAAAAGCTTTCTTTTGCCACATCAATGAACTCTCCAGCCTTTATAACAGCTGAGTAATAACATTTTAAAAGTGTCCCTGTTTTTTTGGTCCGCTCTTTACATAATTAAAATAAAATAACAATTAAGAAATATATCATAATGAAATTAAATGAAAATACTTCTTTATTAAGGCAAACTTAGGACCTCATGGTCCTTTCTTACAGCTATCCTCGGTTTTCTATGGATTTAATGGGATAGGGTATGGAGTTCCATAGGCGGCATGTGGTTACATCAAATGATTTATTATAAACATTTGTCCTGTGATGAAGAAATGTGCAGCGTGGACGAGCCAGAGCGTGTATTCCTTGCCTATTCCTAGAGTATTCCATTTATCATAGCTTTATAAAAAATAACCGATTTTATTACAGCTGTGTTCACAACAAAGAGTAAAAAAATTAACTTTTATTATTTTTTCCATGATAAAGAGAACAAAATCTAATAAATGAATCTAATATTATTTAGTGATTATTATGTTGTTTTATGTTTTGATATGAAAATAGGTGGTAACGTACTGGCTTTCATGGAACATATTGATTATTGGATTTCAAAGAGTTTGAGGTATAGACCATCAATCAATAAAAAAGCATTGTTTTGTAATTTGTTAATTTGGAAATTTGAAATTTCGAAATTTGTAGGATATTACAAAATTAAGTTTGCTATGAAAAAAAGGAAATCTTATACCTGGTATCTCACCTCAGGTGATCTAATAACTTACTTTATCGCTTTAAATCTGACAACAAACTTGTAATGGGGGACTTCCCATTATTTTTATGCAGCTTTTTAGGTTAGTTTTGAATTAAAATAATATCTAAACCATGTTTTAATATGACACACAACTTTAATGTGTTATAGAACACCCTGTATTATGTTTTTGATTCTGCTAGTTATTAAAAACAAATTATGAATTTAATATTTTTTTAACTGATAAGGGAGACATGAATATCTTAAACGTGAATTTTCCTAAATAGCTTTAAGAATAATTGGGAAGAATAATTAGAGTTTTTCATTTTTGTCTAAACAAAGGAAATAAATTTTGTATGAATTGAATTTGGCATTGAATAATTTTTACCACCTAAACCTACAAAAAAACTTACTCCAAATATGTGATCAATGACTGTAAATCTTGCTGGTGTGCCAAAACACTCGCAGAATTATTGCTTGAGATTTGCTTATGATTTAAGGCAAGACACTTTGAGCACATCGCACCTTTTTACATTGAATCAAAAATATTAAAGTTAAATGATCAGAGGCTAGTAAAAACCACTTGGTTAACTTTTCAATTTTAAAATATGGGTTGCCAAAATATTTTGCAAGTGACTTCAGCTTTGTAGCCGAGGGTAGTTTGAGGAGTTCACGCACTGCATCTTTCACGTTGCGCATACCTCGTCATATGAGTACATAATTTTTTATGACAGGGCCTTTGTTGTAACGGCCTGCCGTCTTTGGAACAACGTTGATCTACCTCTATTCATACAAATGCTTGCTAGTCGTCCCCAGTTTGTGGTGGTGCTCAAAATATGGTACTACGAGCATATGGCTTTGGCTGATGCGTCCTAGGACTGTTTTGGCGCTTGCGTAATTGAGGCGGTTTGGGAGCTCGAGCCCAGCTAGTACGCGCCTAGTGTTGGACGCGCCTAACCAAAAACCACCGCGTCTCAGGACCTAAAACCAGGCTTGGGAGCTCGCGCCTAAGTTAAAATGGTCGTAGATCAAGTATAGTCGCGCCTAAGTTGCAACGCAGCTAGATGGACAGGGAATCGCGGGGAATTCAGGTTTTGACGTTGGCAACCGCCACTGCAGAACACGTTACCGTTGACAGCAACAAAAGATGAACAATTGAAGATGGATACAATTTTATCTTGGTATATCAACGGTGGTTAATTAGTAGACTATGGTGTAAGTTTCTGCATTGTACCATTGCAAAAATGTACTTTTGTAAGATAGTTGATTTACACCTCAAAGACGGATATGTTTTAATTATGGTACTACACCTTATAAATACGTGCAGGGCACTATAAGTTTCTGAAAATCAATATGATTTCTTTCAGAGATCTAAAACATCAGGTAATCATTTCACAAAGATTACCCTGTGTGTTGAACGGTCACATCTGAAACTCGGTTTTATGCAATAAAAAGCTTCAAAATTAAACAGCAACTGCCCTGTATAATATATGGGGATTGACGGAAATAAAAAAATAAAAGTATTTTAAGTAATTGCGGAGGTTATGATTGTGTGAAGCTAAGGTATATCTTTTAATACTTACAAAATTATTGTCGTCAATTAAAAAAAAATTAAACATGGCACCCTTTTATCTAATTTTCCTATAGGGGAGTAGCTATTACCATAGGTAGCACTTAGTTCCGGGACCGATATTCTTTTCCACTTTGATGTCCTTAGAGGCCATAAAAACACTATTCGTTCAAATGTTTATATATGTAGGCCTATAGCCAATATATTATACAGGGTTAGTAAAAAGTGTGGAGACCCCCTGTTATTTTTTTAACGGCCCATACTAGAAAAACTAAACTCGTCACACCTTTATGACATGTTATGAAGTACTTTTTGGGCATAACTGTCACTTGGTATACATCCCCAAAATGGGGGATTTTGGGGGAAACTCAAAAATTTCAAATAGAAAGACCCATTGAGTGACCCCTCATTTTAAAGGTCCTGCTAAAAGAAAACCAACAACGCAAACAAGAGGTCTTTATCTCAATCCAGTAAAAAATAGCAGCCAATTGAAATTCTCAGAAGTTGAATTTAACTTACAGCTTTCCAAGTCTGGAGACCCCTGTAAATTTTGTAGCGGCTCACACTAGGAAAACTAAACTCTACACACCTTTTTCGCATGTTACGAAGTACTTTTTAAGCCTAATAGCCACTTGCTTACCAAACCCAAAATGGTATTTTGGGGGAAACTCAAAAGTTTTAAATGATAAGCCCCATCGAGTGACCCCTCATTTTGAAGGTCCTTGTAAAAGAAAACTAACAACGCAAACTAGAGGTTTCTATTTTAATCCATTAAAAAATGGAAGCTGATTGAAATCTTTAGAAATTGGAAATAACTTGCAATTTTATATTCAATTGGCTGCCATATTTTACTGTGTTAAGATAGAGACCTATAGTTTGCGTTGTTAGTTTTCTTTTATTATGACCTACAAAATGAGGGGCCACTCGATGGGGCTTATCATTTACAATTTTTGAGTTTCCCCCAAAATCCCCCATTTTGGGTTTGGGAACTTATGAGAATTTCAATTGACTGCCATTTTGTACTGAACTGAGATAGAGACCTCTAGTTTGCGTTGTTGGTTTTCTTTTACTAAGACCTTCAAAACAAGGGGTCACTCAATTGGTCTTTGTATTCGAAATATTTTAGTTTCCCCCAAAATCCCCCATTTTGGGGATGAACACCAAGTGGCGGTTATGCCCAAAAAGTACTTCATAACATGCTATAATGGTGTGCCGAGTTTAGTTTTTCTAGTATGGGCCGTTAAAAAAATAACAGGGGGTCTCCACACTTTTTACTAACCCTGTATATACGTCCATGAACGTGACAACTTGAGTAATGTTTGTCTGATTTTGAAAAAAATTGGCATGAAAGTCAGAAAGTGTAAGGCGCGATAAACATTAATGAATTCGCGAACCAGCATGATCAGACCATGGGAACCCTGGGTTTTATGGGATAAAAATCGTTTTTTCTCAATTTTAACTCCAAAAACATAAATCTTTACCTTTAAAATATTTTAAAGAGTATACAAAACAAATTAGTATCTTAAAATGTTGTGTACGGTTATTCGCTACAGAGACTATTCAAAAAATCGTAAATTTAAAATTCCCATGTGTTAATCACATGGAGAATAAGTTAACTGTTGTAGTTTGGTAGTTTATGGATATATTTTGATGAAACTTGGCAAATTTATTTATTTTAAATAAAGCTCTTAATATTTTGGTAATATATTAATATTTTGGTAAAACATACTTTATTGCCCTCCCTGTAGCAGCATACATACACCTACAGTCTACACCTATACCTACACCTATACCTAGATAGTTTTAGTTACTTATTAAACCTAAAGCTATTTAAATAAATTTAATTGAAAGTCCTATTAGGTTATTGGATATTCGCTTAGTCTGTAGGTTTTCTGTGGTGGGGTTATTGATATACTGTAATATTTTCTTATACCTACTCCAAATAATCTAAGTAGGCCTACTCCAGTTTGATGTAACTAGCACTTGGTCAATGACACTGAACTTAGCTCAATCAGAACGCAATAAAAACTAAAAAGAAAGCGATTATGACTGTGAGCTATTTGCAGTTTTTTATGTTTTGTTTATTATCTCTTTACTCTTTCGTAGGGGGTGAGTGGGGGGGTATGTATGCGGTCGCTAATTTTTCCCTAGCTAATAAAATATTTATTATTAAGGTACGGATGCTTATAACCAAACTCTCAGTTAAAATCAATTCTATGTAGGGTCCAAATGTTTATTGCAGTAAACAGTAAAAACAAAAACCAAATAATCTTTCGTTAAATTACTTCCTGCAAGATTTTTGTTTTATTTTGAACAGCAGAAACCTAAAAAAACATTTTATTAAATATACTTTGAGAGTAATGAAATTGTTCTGAATTTAATACCAAATTCCATTATAACATTATTTTAGTTAATATGTAAACAATTAACTTGCTAATGGGGTAATACCGGCATGATGTTGACTTAGACCTGCCCCCTGGCAGGACTAAAGTTGGGGACTAAACTAACTAATTTTAATGACAAAAACATATATCTCTTAGTCCCGAAACTGGTCTCCCAAACCCACCGAGACTATCTCTTAGGCTGGCACCTAAGTCTACTTGACTCCCAAACCAACAATATTTAGGGGCGAGATTATCCCTGCACAAGTTAGGCGCGCGCCTAACTGATCCCGAGCTCCCAAACCCGTTTTCTAGGCGGCAGCCTAAATATTTGAAATATCCGGTTCTTAGTCGCAGACTAGCGCTAATACCGAGCTCCCAAACCGCCTCTAAGTGTGTGGGTCATCTCATCTTGTTAGATAATTTTTGCTGTTTAATTTTCTTTTGTAAGTAATGTTGGGGTAAATAATGTTTTCTATTTTATATTTATATGTTTGCAGGTTAAGTGTAAGAAAGCCATGTGGCTCTAACTTTTGCCTGTTGAAATAGAGGATTTTCATTTCATAACAATGACAGGCTGTCAACAAAGCTACCTCCCCCTACTCAGGGCCGCAACAATGACCCCAACAATGACTCGTCCACCGCAACAAAGCTAATAGTTGGCGTTGTTTCGTAATTATTAACTAATTACCTTATTACAGAATGCATTACTATAGAGAATATTGTGAGATTCAAAAAGGATTCATTTTCAGCAATGGCAACATGAGCATCAAACTTATTGTTTGATTTAAACATTTTTAAAGGAAAAATGTCTTATATGAGAGTTTACCAGTCTGTAAGAAGTTGTTCGATATGGGTTGAGGGAAATCTGATACAAAGAGAGCCAGGGAGTTGACCGACATTGGCGGAGTTCTAGAGAAATGCTCCATCACCCAAACTCCCTCAGTAGTCCTGTAAAAAAACATAATCAATTATGTTAGACAAATGTAACAAGACAACTATTAACCCTGGAACAGACAATTAGACATTATGAAATGCCATTGTATTTTGTGAAGTTTGCATTGTTAGTTTAAAAATTAAAGTAATATTATTTACAAGACAGTTCTACAATATTGTTGTATTTTTTCAGAAAGAAGCATAGACTATTATTTGTAAAGCAATAAAATATTCCACAATTTTGACGTCTTTATTTACATGTTATAAAAAAATCAAACAATATAAATGTTTACGGGTCATAAAAAACTAAACCTTAAATGATACATAAGTTTAATTATATACATTTTGTAGGAAATCTTATCTACTTGTGGAAAATAAGAAATAAGTATTGTGTGTTGTAAATGTGATCATAAACATTGAGTTTTTTTAGTTTGTTTACATAATAACTAATCATCTTACTGGGAACTGTCTAGCCAGCTGACAAAGAATCCCAGGATTCAATTATAGCTGTAGCAAGATGCCAACTCAACAAAACTATCAGGACAAGTTAGCAGAATAGCCAACATCTTTAACTTTACATCTAAGTCAATCCGTTGATTATACGCTTGAATGTTGAAATGACACAACGGAACAGCTGTGAATGGCCATAAAATGAACGATTGTCAGTTCTAACGCTAATAAAGGGGTTTTTTTGTTTTAGTTTTGTGACTTTATAAACACATAAAAGTTATATAAATGCCCACAATGTATTGACCTTTAGAAGCGGTCACTTTTTTACATTAGTGCTTAAGATTTATTTTGGATGTAAGAGTGACTCAAGCGAACTATCCACAATCTGTATATTTTCTTTTCTTTTTACCTTTGATTTTATTATATACCCCTAAATTCATCTTGTGAGGTGTTATACGATTGTTTTACGTTGAATCTTAACTTTTATGTCATTCAACGCGTGCGTGTGAGGTGAGGCTTATTTACGTTAATGAAATGAAATGAAATATTTATTTGTCACATAGAATTTACATATAACAGGGAACAGCATATGGTGAAAAGACCTATTGGTGTGTTTGTTCGGGAACTTTTTTTTAATGAAAAAGAGCTTTGACAAAATGAGCTGTCCGATTTTTTTTTTCATTAGACAATAGGTGTTTTATTTTATACACTATAGCAATTTTTTTAAGAGCTTTGATCAAATTATTTGTGTTTGTAATAAATGATTATTTTTATTAGACCATACGTGTTTTATGTCATACACTATTGAATTTATTTTATTTTAAAAGATAGTACTGTATATTTACAAAAAGTAAGTCTTTTTTATCCACAACACGTTCGTATTTTTATTGTTCATTGTAACATTTTTCATTCTATATACAATAGTATAATAACTCATAAACATGTTTTTCCTACAGTTGTATTGCTATTAAAATGTTTTTACTCATCATTGTATAATTTTTATGCTCTGGAGGTAACTTCCGCTAGCGCCCTTTGGTATTTGAAAACCAATGCGCCCAACGGGAGGTTAAAGTAACGCCATAAAGAGTTTTTCAAAATGGTTTGCTGAGACACGCTCTGGTCAAATGAGAAGGCTAAGTTTTGGCTTTGTACACCATACGGTTAGCAAAATTTTGTGATATTCCAAGCTGGATTTCCTTTTGTCAAAATTCTCACACATTCTCAAGTTAATTTGTCCAAGTATTCTCCACAATGATTCAGAATACAAACATAACTAAGTGTAAGTTTACAGCCATAAAAGTTATTTTCAAATAGGCAATTACCTTATTTTAGTTATATACTTTATACAATAAGGGTTTTCTCTGTTTAATCCCTTTTCCAGCCATCCCACTAAACAGATTTTTACGATTGAGGTGTACCTTTAAAGCTTATGATCTAGCGCACCAGCGAATGGTAATTAAAAATGAAGTATCTTTTAGGTCTTCGCCGCCCTAGAGTTTGCTTTAAAATGATCCATTGATGCTGACCACCTTTCTTTACAATTGTTTAAATTTGAATTGTAACTTAACAGCTGATAATTCAGTGGAATGTTTGACTACAGTCAGATTTTAAACAGGAGACAAAACAGTTGATGAAAACTGGATTTTAAATGGGCTATTTTTTATAACTGTATCCTAATTGTGTTAAAAGTAAATCACTCTTCATGGTTTGGATCTGAAATTAACAAATTCTTTATATAAATTTGTAGTTTTCAATAACTGTCTCAAACAAACATAATTTATGAAAAGAAAGCGTATTACACTAAACGTTTTGATTGGGAAAGAAGTTTTAAACCTTGTTCAATTTTATTTTAAAAATCCATACTTAACTTTTCAAAGCAATACTTACACGTTGGTTGTGTCTACGACAGGCATGGAACTCAAAATGTGGAACTCAGATTTGTGAGCGACACTGAGTTCGATCCAGGTTTTCAATTGAGGGTCGTCAAAGCAGGGGAACACCATGCGGGTTTTGTAGGGCTTAAGGTTGAGGGCGACAAACCACCTGCAGAAAAACAAATAATCAATCTAGTTTGTTAAGATTTTAAATTGCTCTACAGCATAGATTGAAGAATCTATATAGGGTGTTCAAAAATAAATATGATGTGAAAAGCGAATAGGGACCTCTTGTCGGGAATTTTCGATTTTGAGTTATAGATATATTTGAATTTCTTATTAAATTCTGAATCGATTGGTGCAAGTCCCTTGCGTCTAAGAATTGTTTTGTTAAAGTTATAGGACATTGAAATTTTGTTATGGAAAAGGGCAATTCTGAGAAAAACTACTTTGAAAATTTCAAATACGCATCAAAACAGTTTTTTTATTTATTTAAGAAACGATTTTGGTAACTTATCGAACGAAATCTTATAATGTCGTAAAAATCACATTTTAGAAAAGGGACCTCTTGTCGGCCCTATGTTATTTCTCCATAAGACAAGAAAAGGTACCTCTTGTCGGGACCGAAAAATGTTTGAGATATTTTGTTTTCCGTAAACTGAACTTTGTTGTAGTTCTCTAAATTTCCACTAGAATGTATTAGAATTCATTTTTGGACTAAAGTATGTTTGTAAAGTGAATAATAGACATGGGACCGCTTGTCGTTATGGCAAAATAACATTGACAAGAGGTACCTTTTCTCAGACCGTGCAGAGGATAACAAAATGATTTATTTCGACCTTTTACATCTTTAATTCGATATTTAAACCGATGCTGTCCTGTTCCATGTTAAATGAGGTATAAAAATCGATAAAAACCCGAATTCTGATATTTTTGACCTTAATGTCTTATAGCGGTCGTACTGAAAATTTTGCATCTTCGACAAGAGGTCTCTTTTTGCTTTTAACATCACAAATAAATAAATAAAAATTACTTTATTTCCAAGTGTCTCTCAGTACAAATAACTGTTTTACAGAGTGGCTCAGGTCAATATACTTACTTAACATAATATACAACAATTATAAATGATAAAAGACAATTCAAGTTATGAAATAAAAAATATATACCATTATTTACAGCTATTAGACAAATATTGTTTTTACATTTCTTTTGAAAGCCAGGACTCCCAGCTGTTTTAGGTCCAAAGGGAGGTCATTGTAAATCTTTGGGCTAAATTAGAAAAACCCTTTCCTACCCACTTCCAGGCGAACTTTTGGAAAGTGGAGCAAGGCGTTGTGTTGAGTCTCGCGCTGAGTCACCTCACCACATGCCACAAGTCTTTCCACCAAGTACTTAGTATCTTGCTGAATATAATGACACTTTCAAGTTATTTTTAATAATTTAGTTTATGCTAAACAAAACAATTTTACTATATGTCACTCAATACATAACCACACAACTAGACAATCAAACAATCTGTTTATCCCACCAGTTAAACTATCAAAATTCACAAAAAGCCATAAATATTTACAATAAAACTTTTCAAATCAACATTATCAAATTGGCTAATAAGCATAGCCTTTTTTATAGACAAATTGTTTAACACAAATAATTACTCTGAACTCTTAACACCATTGGCCAACAGTAGGTAGCCGGCATGACCAAAACTCTTTTTAAAAAATGCCTTGGATATTTACGAATTGTTTAGTTTTTAAGATTATTTACTTAAGGTTTTATTTTAGAAATTTGTGTATTGTGTAAGAACATTCCATCTTAGAATTTTAAATTTATATATTAGGCAAATATGTTCTGTTATGCAACAAAATGTTTAATGTAGGGTGAAGTGGGGTAAGTGTACGCACGGGGCAAGTGGACGCGCTGGCTATAAATAAGCCATAATTGGGGAAAAAAATTTTAAATTTATAATTTTTTATGGTTTGAAATGTGATCTTTCAGATTCTGAAGTTAGAAATCAACATTTATGACTATTTATACGTTAAAACTAAGTTTTAAAATACCTCTGCATTTCTACTTACTACGAAAGTACCGCCTTGAAATTTTGAAAAATTCCCTAAACTCAACGGATAGCCATAGAAATTTGAAAATTGGTACACTGATGCAGTTTTTGAAGAGGAATCCAAAAATGTCATTTTTATATTACTAAAATTTATAATTACAAAAATGGGGGGGGGGCGTACACTTGCCCTGGGTGTAACAGTGGTTGGGGCAAGTGTACTCCCAGCCCCGGGGTAAGTGTACATAGGGGTTTTCAATGGTGTGACAACTTACAATTAGTTATCAGGTTAAGACAAGTTTTCCTATTTCTTAAGTTATTTTCCTGGTTGATTTCACCTTTGGACCTTATACCTGAACTGTCTTTTGTTTACTCAAACCCAAAAGAAGATTTTTCATTCATTCCCAATGACGACATACTGAAGATTTTGCCTGAACCTACACCAGGCAGACGGGGGGAGCTGATTTTCGACGCTTCCCTCTTTAGTGTCCATGTTCAGTAAAAAAAAACCTGTAAATATGTAAATAAATATAATTATAAGGGTGTGTGAACTAGGTACTAAGTCAATTAACAGTTTTATTTTAGTTATGTAGACTAGTACGCACTTACAGTGAATACAGTGAAAAACAGTGAATTGCCATGCACTTTCCCCACAAGGTAAGATTTATCTAAGTCAATAAAAAATTATATTTTTAGATAATAACTAACCTGCCATTATTTGTGTGATGTCAAAGAAGTTTTTTACAGCATTTGATTAATTAATAAAAATATATTAACAAGTTTATATTAATAATTGTAAATTTACAAATTTGCCATTTTGCGGAAATTGTACGCGGAGTTCCACGAAAAAGTTCATAACTCCTGAACGGTTTGAGATATTTTTACAAATAAAAAACCATTTTAATCAGCAGATTCTAAGCTATAATCCACTTGCCCCAGATTGCATCTAAAGCAAGTTATATGGAATATAGGTGGGGGGCGTACACTTACCCCGATTTTAGGGGCAAGTGTACGCACGGGACATCACTTTACAAAAAAAAGTATATAAAAAAAAGTATGATGATTTAAGATTTGAAAAAAATCATACTTATAGACCACATTCCAAGCTTTCTGCTCACCAAATTTCATTAAGATATCTTAAATACAATTGAAGTTATAGCAAGTTAAAGTGCAACTAGTGATTTTCGTGCGTACACTTACCCCACTTCACCCTACTTCATAAATGTTATAGATTTAAGCATAATTTCATATTTGTGTCCTGACTTCTGACGTTGTCTATTGTAATTTTATGTTGCTGAATGACAATAAAGATTACAGTAGAACCCCAGTTAACTGAAATAAAGGGGGGAGAGCCGTTTTGGATAACCAATTTTTTGTTTAACTCAACAAATGCTAATAATAGCCTATGTATTACCGCAGTGTGTAAGAAAAATGAATTTGAAACAATGTCTATATAATACAGTGTTTTATTTCAGCTACAAAAATGTTGCAATGGGTTATAGAAGAGCCCCTTTCGAGAGAGGAAAGGGCCTCTCTGTTTACATATTACTTTTTGTACTTATATTTTAGCCCTTTGTATTAATTTATGGAACCGTTTTGGTTAACCCGGGTTTCAGTTAACCCGATTAAACGAAACGAACTGCTGAGTTCTACACTTTTTGCAAGCGAGACATCTCTTCTCTTGAGATGCTATTGCCTTATGCAGGAAAACAGTAATGGAGCAATGTTGTTTGAACCCAGTGACAAGACCTGTATTAAACAATAATTTAAGAGCACTGTCAACACTAGTGACTGTACCAGCTGCAAAAAAGTTGGGAAATAATTTATGTAGTGACAAGCTGCTATACCCGTTCTTTGCAACGGGAAGAAAATGTGACCTAGAGAGTCATTAAAGTGGGGCTGATGTGTGTTTTAAAATACAGCAATTCTATGACTTAATTTGAAAATATAAACTGATTTAAAACTGTAAACCTAATTAATTTCAAACCCCTACTTTTGATGTTAATATAGATCCAAAAGAATATGACAACATACCTTTGTGTAGCAATAGCATTAATTGCTTCATATTGATGCTTCACTAATTACATGTTTTACCATCATTCTTCAACTTTAGTCAAGCCTCTTTATTTGTAGCTTTACTAAATAAATTACAAAACAAAACTTTGATTTGAGCAATAATTTACTAAACGTGTTCAACCTTTCTTTAAAACCAAACATAACCCTCCTAAATCTACATAAAGCCTCACAAACACATTTTTCGAGTAAATAAACAAACACCAGTTCATTGTACTGACCAGCTGTTTCATTAACTAAATTAAATTAAATCATGTAAACTCTGGAAGCATGTCAGGCGTAGCCCTTTGGAAACCAGCCTGTGGGGCAGAGCCCTTTGGCAATTCGTCCATATCAATACTTTTCGGCAAATCTACACACTCTAAGCTTTATATTGATGTGCCATATGCCTATATTTTTATTTGGTAAATGGCCTTAACCGTTTACACAAAATTTGATTGTATCACTTTAATAATATAATCGATTCCTTAGGCCAAAATAAGCAGAAAAGTTTATATAAACATGTGTCTTATCATGAAACCAGCATAAAATTAACTAAATTTTATATGACTTACTATTTTTTAAAGATAACTTTCAGTTTTGGCATTAAATATTTATTAAGCCTCCATTTTGAAACCGGTTCGAGAGTTTATATTCATAATTTGCAAAAAGATAGTGAACAATAAGATACACAAACATATTTACAGAATCAAAGCTGTAGCTCAAGACTTTTATTATTTATGATCTTTATGTAAAAAATACATACAGACAGACAGAAGCTAAACAGACCGAGATAGGACATATGTTCACATTGTTTTAAATATTTAATTATTTATAATTTATTCAAGTACAAAAATTAAGTTTTACAAATAAGTTTCCAACAAGCTGCAAAAGCCTCTAAAAGCTTGTCTTTATAAAGTTAACTTTATTATATATAAACTACTAGCAGTTAACCGGCGTGGGTTGCTGCGCTAACAACTATTATTTTAAATGGTAATTTGTTCTTTACAATCTATATCTTTATTTCATTTTTGTAGTTTTTTGCCTCCTGATCACAGTATAAATTATTACTAGATGTTAAAATACCTTATAATCCATCAGTGTCATCGGTGACTTAATCAAACTGACGGATTATAAGGTATTTTAACCTCTAGTAATATATCTTTATCTATTTATTAGGTGTATGAATATATAAGTTTTTATTGTGATAAAGGTTATTACTTTTTATGTCTACATATTTAATACTGTAGGGGAGAATTTAAAAGTTGTTGAGTGCACAGGTGTGCTGCGATTGGGGTTTAATGTATTGTGACTTATCTAAAAGTAAAATAGTTTTCTGTGCTGCATTCTGTGGAAATATTGTGGCACTATTCCAAATCATGACTAATACAGAATGTTGTGATTATTCAAACCGACAGTTGGTGAAAGTAAATATCTGCTTTTCAATTATATTTATTTGTAAACATTGTAGTTCCAAAAGTCTGACATTGGACCCCTAAAACCCTCTGGGGCTGAGCCCTTTTAACAAATCTGCTCCAAACTTCAAACAAACCATCCTTCAATAATGCTTAATAATGCCTGAAAGTTTCATTACAATCTGTCGAGCGGTTTCGGAGTCCATAAGGTATATACATAAATACATACATACATACACATTTCCTCTTTTATAGATATAGATTTTGCTTATTTTGACCAAAGGAATCAGTACGCAAATTATATCTCTACCTTTTTTTAACACCCTGTATACATTAGCCTATACAATAAGGGTTTTCTCTGTAACATCCGATGTTTCACCTGTCAAACTTAACTGATTTTTTGGATTTAGGAATCATTTTAAAGCTTATGATCAAGCGGAGTGACAAGCGGTAACTAAAAAAGTAATTTCATTTCGGGTTTCGCCCCCTAGCATTTGGTTTATCTCCAGAGTTCACTTTGAAAGATCCTGTGATTGTGACCAACTTTCTTTATAGCGGTTTTAAATGTGAATTATAATTTAACAACAGATAATTATTCAGTGAGTGTCTAACCACAGTCAAATTGTAAACAAGAGATAAAACAGTTGATGAAAATGGATTTAAAAGACAACTAAAGATGTCTTTAAAGATGTCTTAGTTAATTCTACATTTAACCGTTTGTGACACATTATTTTCCATTACATGGTTAACTTTTTTCATTCATATGCAGACGATATAGTCATCAATGCAAGACGGAAGTTTGAAAATTCCCTCTGTGACTTAATCCAAGGAGGGCTAAATTGCACGAAGGAATGGTGCAAGTCCGCTAGATTGTCGGTTAATCCAAACAAAACCTCACTTGTGCCATTGACAATGAGAAATCTTGCCCACCTGAGAACCACCAAGCTTGAGGAGAAAGAATGAAAATCAGAAGTAAAGTTTCTGGGGCTAGTTCTGGACAAGAAACTACTGTGCAACAGGTACATAGAGAAGGTGACCAACAAAGCCACTAATGTTTTGATGGTATGCAGAAGATATGCTGGGAAGATGTGTGGGAAGAGTGTACCCATACATACTAGCATGTACACTCTTTTGGTGAGACCAATCATCACATTTGGGTGTGTAGCTTTGGCTGGCAGGACCAAGGTGGAAACAACAAGGAAAGCCGTGGAGAGAGTACAGAGGCTGGCCTGCATTATCATCACAGGAGCCATGAGATCCTGTTCAATTGCGGCCAAAGAAGTGATTTTGAAACTGAAACCTCTATACATTATGGTAGAGAATGGCGAGGGAGACTTAACTTAGAATTGAGAAGAATGGCAAAAACATATCCTCCATGGTTTGCGGTAAGTTATTCCCGCCAGGTCTAAGGCATTTGATGAACCTTCCAAGGTATTTTATGGTAAGGAAATACAACTTCGAAAAGAACTTTGTTGTTGAGATGGGGAATAAACATGGGATGGAAAACCCCTAAAATCATTTGTGTGTCATGTCATCAGGTATATCAAATCAATCAAATCAGAAGAAATTATGCAAGTTGAAAATACTAAATTTCTTGGCCTTATCATTGATAGAAATCTAAGTTGGGATCTGCACGTGGATAATGTCTTAAAGAAAATTAACTCAGGAATCTATGCCATCAGAAGACTGTATTATCTCTGCGATACGAATGTATTAAAAAGTGTTTATTTTGAAAATGTTCAATCCCATGTTTCTTATGGGATCTGTGTCTACGGTGGAACATCTGCTCAAAATTTGACAAAGATACTAATAGGACAGAAAAGAGCATTAAGGGCCATATTAAACTTTAAGAACAATGAATCTGTCAAAACTTTCTTTACTAAATTTGAAATTTTGACTGTTTACAGCTTATACATTTTAGAATGCATAATGTTTGTAAAAAATAATATAATTAGTTGTATTACAAATAAAGATATCCACAGCTATAACACTAGGAATAAAAATAAAGTAGTACCGGTATTACCAAATCATAAATTAGAATTGTTCAAAAGAAAAACTTCATACAACGGTATCAGATTCCTAAATCACATACCAGATCACATAAGAAGCATGCAGGATGATAGAGGTTTCAAAGTGAAATTGAAAGAATTTTTGATACAGAGGGCACTTTATTCATTTGATGACTTTTTTAAGTTTAGAACAGATAATAGATCTTAAAATTCAGACCAACCATTGCAACCTGGAGTAGTGTGATCAATACTGTCCTACTAATAATTTTTATTGTAGCCTACCTATTCATGTAATTCTTTATGTTAATTGTTTGACACTATTCCTTTAAACATGTATTTACAAATATGAATAAAGATCTTTTGATTTGATTTGATTTGACCCTTTTAAACAAAAAAAAAACATATTCCATATCAGAGCTATTGTTCCTGTGATTTTCCAAAAAATATTCAATTGTGAAATTATATTGCAGTAAAAGGGTTGTTACTGTATTATTTTGATGAATGATGAATATCTATTATCATTATTTTGTATTAATTTTCAATATACTCACTTATTTTTTGGAGTTATAGTTTATGTCTTATATTTTAGCAACGGCCTATTGATACGGTGGTACTATTGAGATGGAAGGCTAATATTAAAATGGAATGTTTAAAAAAAAAAAAGTTTACAGCTGGTTTTAGACTTCTGGTGAAAAATAGTCCTGAGAATGGACTATTGGCAAGTGAACACTTTCCTGGCCTCTACAGAGTTACCTACCCCATAAAATAACTTCACTACCCAATAAAGAGTGAACATATGCATGATATACCATAAATCAGGCTTTCATGTGTATGACTTCATTTAGTAGGCTCAATGAATACCTTGATAGTAATATTTTATTTAGAGAAGTTTTACTTTTAGTTCCTTGTGCCAGGATGTAGTCTTTCTTATTCAGATAAGCCTTTTACCCCAACAGCCCCTAGATTTGTCGTATTACCTCTTCTCTCCGGATGTTTGGTCAATGTAACTGTTCTGGAAGAACGCATGGTTGGGATCAGAGCCTAGGATTCCATCGAACTGCACATCTAGCTGGTAGGTGGCATCTCTCTGAAGGGGTTGTGACAGATGTACAATCAGAGATTGATTCTGTCTCTCTACTTTGGTAACGCTGAGGCTTCTGAAAAAAAATCATCCTTTTAGAGCATATCGAGAATCTATGATTCAGATACATTTTATCAATGTCATTATTGTTAATTGATTCTCAGTTGCCAAGTGTTTTTTTCAGAAAACTCTTGTCAAGAGAACATGGTATTTCACCTTTGGAGGAGAGTGCACAGGGCTTATGAATACATTAGGGAAGAAGAAATGGTTACAAAACTAACTAATGGTGACAGAAGTGTCTTGACTTTCTAAAAAACCAGTGACATGGAAGTAATTTGTTGAATGCTGCGCCTACCTACTTGTTTACACACACTTTTAAAGAACAATAGGACCCAGTTAAGCTTCTAGACTCTCATTCTTCCCTTGTAACAACAGAATGCGTGACCTTTGAAGTCAATACTCCTCAAGATGATTCTAGAAGAAGGCCTTAATGGGATACATACGAGGTGGCCGACCGGCGTAGTTCAGGAGATTGCAGCAACAGTTGCGAGTGTTCTAAGTGTTACAGTGAACCTGTGGTGTTAGTGAAGTCGTGATACAGAGAAGTTACCGGTGAGTCCCTCGTTGTTGGGATCAACAAAGGGACAGTACAGTACTTGTGGATGACTTCGGAAGGGACACTGGAGAAACTGTAAGTTAACTGTATTGGACTGTAGATAGTAGAAAATTTAGTTGCAGCTAGAAATTGTTAATAATTTGAGTTTATGGAAGCCATGATAAGTTGTAAATGGGAATTAGTTAATTGTAAAACTAGTAGTGAGTCTTTGTGTTTAGTAGGTTACTTTAAAATATATTCCTCCCTCATCATGGTAAAAAATGCATCCTTGTAAGATTAAGGATTTTTTTAGGATAGCAGGCTTACCTGAATGGGAAAGAGTCCAAACTGTTACAATAGACACAAAACTTTACGCTACATCCACAAAACATTTCAATATTTGACTGTCACTAAGCCTAAAGCATATTGGACCACCATATTGGGCCTAAAGGAAACTTTCTTAGTTGAAAATGCTGTCAGTGATAGTGAAATATTGTAATGTTTTGTGTATATAGTATAAAGTTTTGTGTCTCTTGTACCAGTTTGGACTCTTTCCCATTCCAGGTAGGCCTGCTATCCTCACAAAAATTCCTAAAACCCTAAGCCCTTGTGCTCTACGGGCATATAACAAATATATCAATTGGGCATATTGGTCTTTATGAACAAATTAACATTTTTCTAAAAAAGCCTTATAATTCATAAAAAAATATGGAAATTAAGTACTGTACATGATAAGATTTTTATCTAAATTGTTTTTGAGACACAAAACAAATTATTTTATAAAAAAAACCAATTGGATTGATTAACTGGATAAAAAGATAAACTGGAATAAATGTGTCTATTGAACTTTATTAAAAAGGTTATTAATATACATTTGAATCTCTTTGTGATATGAAGGTCAATATGCCATTACAGTATTTTACCTTCGTATATATTTGTTAGCACATAAGGAGAAAAGATGTGTAGTGGTGAATAAAGGTAAAAGGCCTAATGTGTCTGGAAGCTTCAGTGGAAATGACCAATCTTGAACTGTTTTTATTGCTGTAACGAGCAGTTTAAAATAAACTCCATGAGGGGTATCTACAAGGACGAACATCTCCCTGCTTTCTCATTCGAGTAGTAACCAAAATAGTGTTTTTCGGTCTTTTCCACCGGCATTCCTCCCTTGAAGGGTAAAAGGAGAGGAAAAGCAGGCTGAAGTAAACTTACACTTGTTCTCCTTCCGTGTCATCTTCCTCCGATGAGAACGGATCAGCTGGTCGGGATATTGACACTTCTTTATTGACGATGTTTAGACTTGGGTCTGCATGGAGTTCCACTTGCCTGGTCGTCTCACCTGCAAATTCATACAAATAATAGACGAATTGGATCCTAGAAATGCTCAACTATATATCAGTCGTCCTTGTGTTATCTTAGACCATTAAGATCCATTTGGAGAAAAAATTCAATGAGAGTAAGAACTAGTCTATACAGTGCAGCATCTGTACTCAATTTCACTATCGTGCAGGGCAGGTCTTATAAGAGATAGTCGTACTAGCATCAAGTATATTGCCGTGTGGGTCGCAACTGTTCTTACAAGTCTTGAGAAAGCACTAACGTACACTTTAGGTATTTGTATAACTTAATGCTTTTTTATTCGTTTTAAGTCAATAATATTGATTTTGACTTTGGTGTTGTTAAAATAACATAGTAGTGTACAAGCATAAGGTGGAAGAAATAAAGAAGGTAATGACCATTTTACCGGTCTTTGTGTTATTTGGATGGTTAATGTCACTGAACTTTCATTTTAAATACATTGCTTTTGGACACTCCTTACTACACACATAGTGAACCTCAAAAGAAAATAGCTGGATTCTTTGGGAACCAAAATAAAAGTTTTGTGTGATTAACCTTGTCTCTATGCTTCTTTGTAGCTGAATAATGTGCTCTGGTGCTGAACTGTGAGGACTAAGAGTGTGAAAGTACAGATTAATATCCAAGTGGCACAATAATACATACTCTCCCATCTTAACAGACTCCTAGTGTTGAGTCTTTATCTCCATCTGAGATCTACCATAGTGAATCATTGATACATAAAAATGTTGTCTGTCTATGACATATTCATCTTTTAGCAGCTAACAGAAAACTGTCTACCAACAATTGTTTTTTAACCAGTAACTGTATATCTGAATAATGTTTAGACAAAGTACTTGGATATGTTCATCGATATAAAAAAACTCTGATACTAGTAAAAGGTGTAGTGCAGCTCCCCACAAGGAGTGAGCAAACCGGTTCACACTGACATAGTAGGAATGGAAATTGTGACTACTTTTTGATAATGTGTTCCACCGTTCCGTGACTGGTTGGTAATAGGTGACAGTAACCTGTTATTTCTGTCACCTAATACCGGGTCACTTTTGCATTCGTTACCATTACAGACATAGGCTACCCTCCAGATCTATTTAGTAACACTGTGATAGAGTAATAAATAAGAGTTATTCCAAACTATTCTAAGTGAAAGTTTGATGCGCTATAACAGACTAACTGATGAAAGTTTATAATTACTGTAATATTATTCTTGTTTCTTGACTGATTATAACCTAATACAATGACAAAGCCCATTTTATATTCAGGTTTTATTATAACTTTATGACAGATCAAACTTTTTCAAGGAATAATAAAAATCATATAATATAAAATGTCTTTATAATTTGAAATAGAAGTATAAAATTATAAAGATTTCAAAAAAAGAAAAAAAGAGTAGTCTGAATGGACGATGTTAGTCCTGTCGCAACATGGACATAATATACAACTGTAATAGTCAATGCTGTAACATACTCGGTCACTCAATGATGGGCAGTAACGGTAACGAAGTTAAACAGTGGCGTGACAGTCACTCAGACACTCAGTGTCACTTCAATGTGTAACTGTGGTGCCCGTTCCAAAACCAGAGCACAGTGACAGTAATGTATCCGTGTAACTGCAGTGCACGTTCCGAGCAAGCTTAGAGTGACCAAGTACGTTACAGTTACAGTGATGACAGTGTGCGGTTACAGTTTCTCATTTGCCACCTACCTAGCAGTTTATAGTGCAGTAATACTGTGTAACTAAGTTTCAAAATAATAGGGAGTTTGAGGTAACCTATTACAGCTGTAACAGTTACATTTCAGTAATACTTATCCTGTTACGTTAAAAAATAACCATCTCTATGACATAGGCCAGTTCGGTGAAGTTTAAACTCAAACAATGAAACATATTGTACAACTGCCTTTTACAGGCATTACCAATGAAAATTTTAGCTTTTTTTCAGCAATCCTTGGGTGAAGCAGCACTAACTTGTGTTTAAGAGCTAGAAATAAATTATTCTTTCTGTTCCTAGTAAGAAATACTGTGGCATACAATTATGGTTTTTACTTGGAATATTATAATTTTGTGCTTAAACCCCACAGTCACTAATTCATATTTGTCCAGAAGACTAATAATGATATTTTAAATACAGGGCCGTGCTGGCCAGGCGGGCAACCGGGCAATTGCCCGGTGCGCCCTCCCAAGGAATACCCAATTGACGCCCTAGCTCTAAAGGCAAAAAATAAATAAATAAATAAATAAATAAAAATAAAAAAATATGGTTTTGGTTTCCTCACATAACAATCTTGAGAAAAAAACTTTAATAGAAGAAGTTTTACATCAGTGTATTTCATAACTGAATGCTATGTCTGAGACAGAATAAAAACGAATTTGACGTTGAACGGTTGGCAGTACGGAAAACTAGGACCGGAGTCAAGTAGAGGTAGAATCTATTTTAGTTTTGAGTCGTCTGGTCTGCGCGGAGCCACAACAGAAGCAAACCGGTTTGTTTACATCCCTTTCATAGGTTAGGCCTGCAGGTAATTGTTGTTGTATTATTATATTGCTATTATTATTATTTTAGTTTAGTACTACCAAATGTAAAGAATGTTACCATAATTATTAAGCTACCGGTACCATCGAATTTCATTGTCGCAAGTCGCATTATCTTTAACACTACAGTCGGCCTACATTTTTCTGTAGTTAATAAATTGTGAAATAATTAGTGTATTTTAACGCTTAACGTAGACCTATGTATAATTTTTCACTTAGAGCTTCCATTCTACAACAAAACCGTTCCAATAAAACGCCCATAAAGCCGTTTATTTTTTTATTATATTAACTGTATTTTATTTATTTTATGAAGGGAATAATGTATAGGCCTACATATGTTTTTATTTCTCCCTGAAATATTCAGTGTTTAAGTTTTGAGTTTCCCTAGTTAGCTACTGACAACATTTAGACAGTTATTAATTTTTTTCTTTAATAAAAATAACTTTACATTAAAACTTAACCTTAAAGTTCGGCACTTGACTTGTCAGACAATTTTTTTTTAAGTGAGTGGTGTTTTAATATAGTTTGTTCGTTACATGATTATTTAAGGGTCTGGTTGATAGTTTGCAGCTATTTTACGAGTTTTATATAATTTTATTTAGGCCTATTATTTTATTTCATTTCTTATTCACTCTGTGGAATTTAACTTCAACTTACTAGGCTTAGCTTAGATTGTAAGATTTCAAGCATATTAGTCAACTCCCAATTAACCGGGGGAATTGAATGACTGGTTGAAGTGTCATGGATAACCCAAAATCACGGTGAAAGCAAAGGCATAAAGGCATTCAATAAATAAACAAAGCACGTTTTCTCATGTAGCCGTATTACATGTATGTTTAATAAACTTTAAGCAAATTAAATGTTTTTAACACAATACTAATGACTGCAATATTTTTAAACCCTGAAAAAATTATGGTAATTTTCTGGCTGAAATAATATTTTTTTAAATAAATAGTTTATAAATATAAATATAATTTCTTGTCAAAATAGCATAAAAGAGGTTAAAAACTACTAATTTTAGACCTAAAATTTCAAAATTTTTCCGGGGGAGGACCCCCGGACCCCCCGCCCCACGGGGGGTATTCCATACCCCCCGTACCCCCCGGTTTTTGGTGGACGCCCTCATGACACTTTGTCCAGCGCCCTCTTGAGGGTCCCAGCACGGCCCTGTTTAAATATAGTTACTAGCTGTTAAACTATGAGTTAATTATCAAAATATAATTAGTAATGAATTAATGAGGTAGAACAGTGTTCTGCAACCTTCTTCTAAAGAGTAAATTTTTATATGCTATCAATCGTTTGTAAAAGAATGTCTGAACAGATTGTGATGTTTCTAAGTGTTTTTATGTTTTATCATGTACATTAAATGTTTGCAAAGTTAAATTAGTTTTGGGAAAGAAAGGGATGGTGGAGGCAGACTCAGAGTCTCGGCACGTGAACCTAAGCTTATTGTGCATTTTGAAGTGAAAGATCATACTTTACAGTTAGTGGAGGCAAAAAGGGGTATTTCTCAAATACCATTTATTCATATACCGTACCTAAATTTCTATATTCAAGGCAATAATTTTTGTAGTTACGAATCTTCCTGACATGTGAAATGGTAATAAAACCTACCTTGGCCAGGAAACACCAAATCAATCCGAACTCTTCCCTGAAATTAAGAAAAAACATGATTTAGCAAAATATTGTATTTTTCAACGTTTATAGAACATATTAGCCTCTAAATAAATAGTGGAGTTGAATATAATTTTTGCTTTTTTTTCTCTTACGTAGCCGTAATTTTTTGCTTGTCATCTTTTTTTTTGTGGTCTATGGCGCTGGCCGGTTGACGCAATCCAGCTATCTGCAGTAAGTGGGAGGTTGGTGTTTGTTTGCTGTTTGCATTGTTGTTGTTTACGTTTACTGCTAATGTTTCTGTTTACAGTTGGTTTTTGAGTAAAAATTTAAAGCTTTTATATATATTAAGTTTACAATGGAAGATTCTGACAGTTCTGATGAAGATATTTATAATAACAGACGCAGATGACAATCACCAGTTAGTGAAAATGCCGTACACTGTTCAGAAACGTAGTGGAATCTGGTGTTGGTGTTTATGATGACTTGAGTGACAGTTTTGTGGAAAACATATCAGATTCTGAAACCTATGATAGTGAAAACGAAAGTGATGTTTTGTCAGGTTTTGATGATGATACTGATGAAGACTCTGACTATGTTTTATCAGAGGAAGAAAGTTCAGATGAAGATGCTCAACCTACAAAATCTCGTGATAGAAATATGCCTCTTGGTAGGCCTAGTGACATATCTGAAAGTAGGCCTATTGAGTTTGTAATTTTGAATTCAGGTAGGCCTAGTCCTAACTTAGTTTCAAATGGTAGGCCTAATCCCTCAACTAACCAATTGCATGATACCCAATTGCATGATATCAATAATGTAGATTTAATCCAAAATGTCCTTGAAGAAAATGTAAATGAGCCCCTTTTGAACAATGAAGTAAATGTAAATGTGCCCCTTTTGAACTTGAATACAGTACATGCTACTATTGAAGATGTAATAAGAAATTTCTAACGTTGCGAAACCCCTAACCCTGACCCTGATATTCCACCAGATATGGACCCTAGTGAAAAAGAATGGAAACCTGTCCATGAAAGTGATGACCCTGGATTTGACCATAACATTTTATTTTTCGAACAACCTGGTCCAAAGTACTGTCCTCCTCGTGATTGTGAACCGATTAATTATTTTTATTTATTTTTCACAGTTACAATCCTAACAAAATTCGTAAGAGAAACTAACAGGTATGCTAATCAGTACATCAAATTGCATCTACATAATTTGACCCCTAATTCTAGAGCCCATAAATGGAGAATGGTAACACTAGCTGAAATGAAGGTCTTTATTGCAGTAATTTTAAATATGGGCCTAAATAGGAAACCGACAATTCAGAGCTACTGGGCAACATCTGACTCCTAATATACTCCCTGGTATGGAAAGATGTTTAGTCCATCTTGATTTGAAAGTATTATTCAATTTGTTCATATGGTAGACAATTCAATTTTGCCTAAAATTGGAAAGCCTGAATATGACCTGTGTGCAAAATTTTCGCAACTGCTAGAAGCCGTCAACAGACTGTTTAGGCTGTACTACACACTACACCGTGAGTTGTCGGTTGATGAAAGTTTGATCGGAACTAAATCAAGATCTCAGTTGTTGCAATACCTCCCAAACAAACACCATCACAAATGGGGTGTAAAGTTATGGATACTGTGCGATTCCATTTCGAGTTATTGCCTTGTGTTTTATTGTTACAAGGGAACAAAAAGTACTGGACAGAAAACTACAGGCCTAGCCTATAAAGTTGTCCACAAACTGCTTGAGATAGGCCAGTATCTATACAAGGGTTACCATGTTTTCATGGATAAGTTTTTTACTAGTATCCCTTTGGCTACAAGTTTGTACGAGAAACTTACATTCATCACCGGCACCGTATGAAGGAATAGAAAAGGCATTCCATCTAAACTAAAAAAAAATTCGACATTGGCCAAAAGACCTGGGAGAAATGACAATCTTTTATTTTTAGGCTTCAGATAGAAAAAAATTCAGAAAAACCCAGTTATTTTATTATCTTCTAAACATACTGCTAAGTCTATTGAAAAAATAAAAAAAAATAACAAATGAAAATTTAGTAAAAGAAATTCCTGAAATGATTGATGCATACAACTGTTTCATGGGTGGCGTTGACGGCAATGATCAAATGATGTATTGTTACTTGGATGAGAGACGCACCCTAAAATATTGGAAAAAAGTCACCTTCAACATATTTGCAAGAATCCTGCTGAATGCCTATATAATTTACTCAGAAAATACCAGCGGAAAAGTAATTTCAAGATACCACTTTACCAATTACTATTATTGAGGCGCTGTCTTCACAGTGGTACAAAGAAAAGAATTCTAGTAGAGCCCAAAAAAAAAGATGGTCGTGGCGATAGACCAAATAACAAAACTCAATTTGGCATCACATCTTTACCTGGAAGACAGGAAAGGAACTGCTGTGTGTGCAGTCCTCTTAGCACAAGAATGGGAGGCAAGAGGAAAAAAAGCCGTACAATATGTGTTCGTTGTGGTAAAGGACTACATGGCGTTTGCTTCGGCGAACATAAATTTACCAACTAATAACAATACCTGTTTGTAAATAGTTTTTTTGTCTTGTGTTTGCATGATTGATTGCATGGACTTTTTAATGACTTTTGCATGGCATGTTTTATTGAGTATTGTAAAAATTAATGAGGTTGAATAGATTTACTTTTTGAATACTCAACATTTTTATTTCATTTTGCGTTTTCAACAATCATTAGTGCTATGCTAAAGGCCCTACACCAAAACTTATTTTGAGGTTTTTCTACAATATTACTTTTACAATACCACAATTTGATTTTTGGAAGAAATAGTTTGAAAAATGTTATGATTTGTGATACAGTCTTAGGGTAACCCTCATTTATCAAGATGAGAGTATTTTGGAGTTTGGACAAAAAAATTTCAAATTTGCCTACAACTTCTTCATTTTTCAAGGTAGGTGATTGGAACTTGTTGTGTTTTGTTCAGAACTAAGTAGAGAATTTGAGAATACTAACATTATATATGGTCTCAACAGTTTTTTTTAGATATACACGTTCAAACATAATACTTTTCTAAAAGTAAGAAACCAAACGTATTATAATAAAAATAAAAAAAAAATTATATTTGATATGGGTTATTTTCACTTATTTTTATGTAGAATTTCATAGGGAATAAAAGGAAACAAAAAGTATGTCTCTATCTGATCAGACAAGGAAGATACATAAATTTTACCAAACGCTTACAACAATTAGTAGTCTGGAGTTTTTGGCTAGTACTATCCGGTAAAGTACCGGCATTTTTGGCTAGGACCAAAACTTTTTTGCTGGAGTGCAAAGGTTTAAGTATCTTGGTTTTAATTTTAAGTGAAACACTGTATAACAAATAATTAACCATTAAGTAAAGATTTTAAATCTTATTTTCCAAGTTAATAATTTCAGTTATTTGCGACCAGTGTTTCACTAAAAGAATCAAAACTAATCGTTCTAAAGTTGGTCTTTTGTATAACGTAGATAAAAATTGGGGGGGGGGGGGTGATGAATGTGGCTTTTATTGAAAGCTGATGCTTAACGACTACATCTGAGCCCAAATATTTAAACTTAAAAAAAATTATTATTACTACTAACCCTGGACTTACTCAATTAGATTAGCTATCCAAGGCCAATAGTACAATTTTGTCCCTTGACGATATTGTACCGTAACAGAGTTTAAAAGACCACTACAGTGACTGAGAAAGGATAGGCAGGCTAAGAGTACAATGCAGGTACTAAGTGATGCAACGGTATTAGAAGGCAAAAACGTATGAACGACCGAGGAAAGAGATTTTCAGTTTTTGACTGGCCACCAGGAGTTAGGTGGGCACCTAAAAGTGGGTAACAATCCAAAGTCATTAGGAATTGTGACAAAGAGGAGGAAGCAGCCTAAAATATCAAATACAATTTGTCTTAGGCACATTTTCATTGGATTTTCACTGGTGTTTCAATTCTGTTAGAACTAAGGAAACAAGTAAAGCCTAATATTTTTTTCAATATTAAGGTCATTAATTAGGCTTACATCATAACAATCAAATTATAGTATATCAACCAAACACAGTAACTCTACAGTACCTTGCATAATAGGCTGATAAATACATTTTGTTCAAATGTTTATTGCGGACATTTTCCATCACGATGGTAAAAAAACAATACACAACGTTTCGGGATCTGGAATCTGATCCCGTTCTCAGGTGAAAAAACTTAACTAACACAAAAAATCAAAACATTGTCAAGAGTAAAAGATTAAAATATTATATTGCGTCTCTAGAGTTTTCATGTTATTTTTGGCCTATTTAGGCCATAGGTTTTGGCAGTGGTTAATGCGACTGCATATTTTGATGCAAGAACAATAAAAGTTTTAATTGTCTAATTTGGTCAATAACTAGGTATCTAATTATGCAGCCTCTGCCATTACTGGTTCAATTAAATTCAAATTATCTTTATTCATCAAGTACATTAGGAATATACATGAATAGTGTCACATTTCTCAAATAATTAAGTTATAATATAATAAAACACATACATGCTACTAATGAGAGAAAAACTTGAAAAGAACAAAGAACCAACAGAAAAAGATATAAATAAAGTTAAAACATATAGCCTACTTTGAATTGGTAGGGAAAGAGAAGTAAATTAGCCTACAGTTCATCAAATAATAGTATCAGTTAATAATTTTATTTTATTTTATAATTACTTCTGCTTGTAAGTTTATCAGTTGTTAACACGTTCGCTACTGCAATAGTACGAAATTTTCCATTCACATGGACCAGCGACGCACATATGCGACGGCCGGTTTCCACCCATAGACTGCCGACGCATATATGCGACGGCTAGTCACATTAAAATAGACTGACGACGCATATTTGCGTCGGGGTTCTAATGTTATTAAAATGCTTATATTTTTGTAACGGTCTATTTGAAGGCACTGAATTCCCTGCAGTGGTCTACAGAGATGTCTGACGCACAACTGCGTCGCTTGGTCTGTGGATATGATGATTGGTGACGTCATATAACAGTTGGAAAAACTGGTCTTTACTTTTCTGCATCACTGTATGTATGTATGCAGTATGTATGCTGCATTATCCTATGTAGCTTTTATATTTGTTCAGTTATAAACTGTTCTTGAAAAATCTGTTTATTTCTTTACTTACTTTCACCTTAAAACACAAAAAAATGAACAGTCGCATATATGCGACGTTTAGTCTATTTCAAGAAAACTATAATTGTTTTCACTATTGTCTTCGCTGTAGACCGGGCGTCGCAAATATGCGACATTACAAAAGGTTATAAAAAATACAAATAAACAAGAATAATTTATTTACAAACACGATTGTAGCGTATTACAATGTAAATGATCCCTGTTTTACAGGTTTTCGCCCGTGGTCTGTGTGTACTGTTATCCAAGTGACAGCCGGTCTATGTGTAAGATTCAAATGTATACCTCGGTCTGTGGCAATGACCGCGGCGTCGCATATATGCGACGCTCAGTAGCGAACGTGTTAAAGAATTATAACTTCTTGATCAGCATTGTACATGTTATTAAATTTACAGAAAGTAAATAAAAGAAACGTCTTACAACACATAAAACTTAAAACATATATTTTCACTTGTACTGTTACTCACAAGACAGTAAATATACAAAAAATATGGTAAGTGGTGATCGATTTTGATTGGACACTCCAATCACCATCAGACCCAAAAGGCGAATCTTTTTTGTATATTTACCGTCTTGTGAGTAACAGTATAAGCATAAATATATGTTTCAAGTGTTATAAGACGTTTATTTTATTTACTTTCTGTAAAGAATTTTGTACCAGCGTATGTGGGTTTCTTTTCAAAAAGGTGCAATTTATGAGGACTTAATGCCAAGCTGTGTTGCTTTCTTGTAAGAACACCATGTTTCTTTCCAATAAGCTCTATTTATTGAAATCTGTTTTAACTGATACCACTGTTTCAAATACATACATACTGTACCAAAAAGTGTCATTATATTTTATGATTTAAACTTTCTCTTAACAGAAGTTCTAGGTGGATGTTTAGGTTGTAAATTATTCTTATTGCATTTTTTTCATTCTTAATATATACTTTAAGTTGCCCTTATTGGTTGAGCCATAAAGGGAAATTCCAAATGAAATTACCAACTAATTACTAAGTGTGTATGAAAAGTAAACTACAGTAGACTCCCTCTTATCCGGGGACACCTTTTAACCAGACAATAAAAGTGATGTTCAATATCGACTAAATGTTAATAACAACTAGGCGGGATTAAAAATTAACTATCACCTTAAATACTCCATCTCCTGGGTACGGATAAAGGTCTAGACGGTAACCTCGAGGTACCACATTGGCGCTCACAGCTGTCAGTAACAAACTTGCTAACAAGGTTCGACACGCCATCAACTACAACAAATACACAAAATTAGAGGCATTATGCTTTACAAAACACTTATATAAAGCAACTTATATAAAGTGTTAGTACTATTAGAGCTAATAACTTATAAAATCAAAATCTACTTAAAATCAAACTATCTGTGTTCATAAAGTAGTGTCCGGTTACTCAAAACACAAAGTAAATAAGTAATAATTTATGGAGGTTTTTTAAAAATGTTAGGTTTTTACCCGAAAAAGGATGTTCATGAAAAACAGTTTTTTTTCCTAGGACGCTAGGCACGAGCCTGGGATTGTTTTTCACATTACTTCAGGCTAGACCTAGGGGTTGCGGCATTATCACTTGCATAAAATCCATTGGTGACTTGGTGGGAATCGAACCTGGGACCTCAGGGACTGTGTACGCCACTAACCACTACGCCAGCTTGCTCCCTAGTTGTAAGTAATACCCTCACCATAGCAAACCTGATGACTAAATGAATTTCTATTTTTGCCAGATTCGATTTTCAGTAGGCCTATACTAAAATATTCCCATTAAAAGGTTGGATTTATTCTCTATTTAAATAAATATTAGGTTTAATTAGAGTGGACTTAGGTTTCCTGTTCGTTCCTATAGTCCGATCATGCTGGTTCGCAAATCTATTCAATTAAAAGTAGTTTAAATTAAATGCACATATACTTATTAATTATATGCTCTGCACATTACATTGTCCAATCAAGCTGGTTCGCAAATTGACCGTTTTGTGTTTCAAACATTTTTTACATATAACTAACTCAATAATGCCTCAAAGTTTTTTTTTTTTTTATGGAGGCTACCTATAAATGATAAATAGCCTAGGCCTACATATGAAGCAAACTGTATTGTATAGGCAATTATAAAAAAAAATTCACTAATAGTTCAGTTAGACTATAAATAACTATAAGTCATCACTGTCTTGTAAAGATAAAAAAAACCCACTTCAGTTTTAACATTCGTTTTTATCATCAATATTTTCACGTCTCTCATCCATGGTTCACAGAAAAGGTGCATTAGAAAATATCCTACAAGCGTCAATATAAACATTCAACATCCTCATTTCTCTCAACAGATGGACCAGTCATGATGGAATCCTATACTTTACTTATTAGCCTAGATTCCACGTCTAGCCAATGTGTTTTGACAGTCTTTGGGGTAATTATTCCGTATAGGTGCCTCCAAACGAATTTTTAATTTTGATATCTTACTTTATAGTTTTGTTTACCTCCTGAATCCAAATATACCATTATTTTTCACAGCTAATGAATATTTCTCAAGATATCGCCGTAATAATATACAACATTACATTAAACAAGGTAGGATGGATGACATTTACAAGTGGAATGAACTATGGGTTAAGTAAACCAACCAGCTGATTGTTTTCAATCATAGTCAAGCAAATGGAAGTGACAACTTTAATTATTTAACTCTGATTCTGCAATATGAAAATCACCTGATTAAGTTACACTTTTCACTTTCTAAGACCAATAAGTTAATAATGTGGTATTGTTACCAGTATTTTATCCTTATTAATGATTTATTGATTTATATTTCGCCGTTTAGAAATTACATAATAAAATGGTGCTATTCTAACATAACCTAACCTAACCAAACCTCTAGAATGGGTAAGCAAACTCCTTTTGATGTCACAAAAGGCATGTCAGGGTGATAGGTCGTGCTTTATGTGAATTGGTGGCTGCATTAAGTCCTTTGAAGGTAGGTTAGATTAGGTAAGTTAAAGTTTAGGTTATAATGTATCAAGTTGTTAGTTTATGTCGCCTTCAGACTGTTTTTGTAAAATTAAAATCCAGAAAAAACACTTCAAACTACTATTTCAACCTAACTTCAAAACACTTAATGCAGTCACCAATTCACATACAGCACGACCTACCACCCAGACATGCCTAAATAAGAACTACATGTAATTAGTCCACCAGTCCATCTATATCTCCATAATGTGACGAAATTCCTATTTATTTATTTATTTATTTATACATGCCAACGGCTAAGCCAATACATAGATGTAAACAAAAACTGAACAATATTCAATACTCAATAGAATACTAAATACATAGATGAAAAAAACAAAAAACAAGCTGAACAATACAATACTCAATAGAATACAATAATAAATGTAGAAAATCCCCCTATTATAGAGAACATTAAGTTATTTGACTACAGAATCACTTGAAATGTTATCCATCCTATCTTTTTTATCGTAATGTTTAAGTATGTTTTTACGGTGATATCTTGAGAAATATTCATCAGCGGTGAAAAATAATGGTATATTTGGATTCAGGAGGTAAAAAACTATATAGTAAGATATCAAAATTAAAAATTCGTTTGGAGGCACCTATACGGAATAAATACCGTCTTTGGTACTGTCTTAATGACCAGTAATTTCAAAACACAAGGAGACACACACGATGGAATCGAAAAGTACATGACAAAAAGCTGTCACTAGACTGAAATGAGGAGGTGAAGGATGGCAAAAAGCCTGAAATGTGGTGTGTTAGGGTAAAAACACAGTGGAGCAGGGCAGGTAGCTGGTAGCCTGGCGGGTCGCTTAATCGCTTACTGCGACGTAGAATTAAAGCACGCGTTGTTATGGGTACGCACACAGTCGCGCCTAGCAGGTAGCCGAGATGGTAGCAGTAAGCTAGGCGGCAAGCTAGAAGAATTGCCAAGTCGATTGTTTGGGAGCTTCAAGCGGGGAAGGCTCGACTGGGGCATGCGCAAATAGCAGAACTTGACAGCCACGAGTTCTCGAGTTTGCAAGTTCCACGCGGGACCTTTCACTGCGCATTCTGTATATACGTTGTTTGTTTGTTTTAGCTGATTTATTTGGAAGTTGTTTTGCTTACATGAAATAAAATAATGGACGTAGACAAATTAATATCAGAGGTTATTATCCATGTGCCATTTGGAAACAAGCCCATCCGGACCACCACAAACGTCACGTACTCGACGATCTGTAGAATAAAATAGCGAATGAACTAGGATTCAAACAAAAGTTTATCCTGTACCACTAATATTATAAGTGATAATATTAGTATCGGCGGCTGACAAGCGACTGTACTGAGCGCCACTGTGTGTATGTCCCAGCTACCCTCCAGGTAACCAGCAGTTAAGCGAGTAAGCGACCAGCCAGGCTACCAGCTACCTGCCCTGCTCCACTGTGTTTTTACCCTTATGCTCAGTAAAGGCCGACGATACCGAATTACCAACAACCAATAAATATGATTATTACGCAAAAAAAAACACAAAACCCGGTCATTTAGACAGCTATTTGACCTCTCACGGGTTAAGGTGGGTAGCCTGGACTATTTATTGCTCGTTAACCATTACAATTGGTGCTTGTTGTATGAAGTTATAATCGAATTAGGCCTATTAAACACAAAAACATATTGTTTAAAGGTTGGGCCACAAAACTAGTGCAACTATACCTCCCCATATAAATGTCTATTACAGAAAACATGTCCAATGCAAAGTTAGTTTGAAAAAACATACATTGCATTGGACATAACAGCGATGATTTCATCCCATAAATTTACAAATTTATTAGGCCTAGGCTAGTCAGATTTAGCAAAATATAGGTAAAAGTGTATTTCATATGTTACTTACATGAATCCATTCTTCCTTTACTATTTGTAATAAAAAAACAGTAAACAGTCTTGAAAACGCCTTCGATACGTTAGCTAGCTTTGAACAAAAACTGGTCAACTCAACTGAAGTATTATTAAAATCAAAACCAAAAACCAAACAAATTAAACTGAGAGGTTGGAGGTTGGAGGTTATGCAAATGAAAACGAAGGCAAGATAGATAAAGATAAGAAGACAGAGCTATCGACAGCTGATCAGCTGATGTGTTCCAACAATAAGCTCTGTCATTGGTCTGAATCTGAAACAACTAACTTGTCAGGACAGGTGACATAACAGAAAGTAAAAGTGATTTGAGTGACAAAAAATATGTTTTTTAGATTCAGTAAGCTGTTTACATAATGAAGAACCGTAGATTATAATATTTAAGAATAATACAATAATTATATAATATATGATATATCATTATACTTTATCAATTTAAATACGCTTGTAGAATTTAATTTTATATCTTATTTTGGTATAATTGGTTCAAAATTAATAGCGTTATAATCCAAAGTGGCAAAGTAGGCCTAATGACTGGTTTGCATATTGATTTTAATATTAACTTTTCATTGGTGATTTGGTAAAAGACGAAACAATTGTTGTACAATTAATGTATAAATAAACAAAAACACAATAATTACTCAGCATTTTACCACAATCCCAATTTTAATAATGTAAGACTAAAATTACTTACGTAATTCCCGTCACAGCTCAATAAAATATGTCTATTCAGGACATGTTTCGGTGTTAAAACACCATCGTCAGCTTCAGGTACATAGTGTAGAGTTGATCAGTTGTTAACATCGTCAGAAGAATAAATAAGTCCCTTGCTACCTGTGCGGTCGGTCATCTTTGTTAGAACAGGCCTGTTTTTAGCGAATTTCCCATATAGGGAATAAGCTATTACCGTAGTACTCATGGTAAGACCTGGACCCGGGACCGATTTTTTTTTTCGTTTTGAGGTCCCTAGAGGCCAAAAACACCATTCGTTCAAATTCATATATATATATATATTTATATATATATATATTTATATATATATATATATATATATATTTATATATGTGTCCGTTAGCGCGATAACTCGAGCAAAAATGATCCGATTTTGATCAAATTTGGTACAAACGTGTAAACCTACGTTTATTCGAACGAGTTCGCGAACCAGCATGATCGGACCATGGGAACGGGGGTTTATGGGGGCTTTTATGGGGTAAAAATGGGTTTTACCCATTTTTGACCCAAAAAACATAAAATTTTGCAATTTCTTTCTAAACTATTTTGTAGAGCTTAAAAAAACAAATAATTTAGTATATTGAAGCATTATAATGCGCCTATCGGTTACGGAGAAAAT